CGCAGAAAGGCAGCAAAAAAGAAACAAAAAAAGTCCCTTTATCCAGCTTTTCATTTTTTATGAGTTTTTAAAGGTTCGAAAAATGGTGAAAAAAGGGAGAGGAAGCAAAAATGATGCATAAGGGCCGATGAAATGGCCCAAAAAGGCGGCAAAAAAGGAACCTTTGTCCCCCTAAAAGGAAAATTTCTATGGATCCTTTTTTGACACCTTCCGACTTACCCTATGAATCTTTTGTCAAAAATTGATACTATTTTCAGAAATATATTATATAATTGCAAAAAACACTTAAAGTGAGCTGGGATTGATCCTATGAAGTTTTCGAATAATGCCTTTTTTTTAAAAATTAAAGCTAGAAAAAATGACAAAAAAGGTAATATTGCAGAGGAGTCGATCCGGTGACCTTTTTACCAAACAAAGATGTGAACCGCAAAAATTTCTTCTCAAACAGCAATTTTCAGTCTTCCCGAAACTTTTTTCCATTTGTCATACGTGTTCCTCTTTTTCCACTGATTTTTCCATTTATTTCTCCTTTCTCTGCATCCACAAATCCTCCGGAAACAGTGAACCTTTTTTCATAGGATCCCGTACTTGGAATGGCTCCATAAAGCAGAAAAATGTTCAAATTTGCGCCTCTAAGAATTTTTTTGAGCAATTTGATGCAAATTAGGACCTCATACACAATTTTGACTTCATATTCTGGAAAAAAAAATTAAATAATTCGAATTTTCAGATTTTTCTTAATGTTAGTTTATTCACCGCTCTTGAGACAGGATTCGCGAAATAGTGAGCAAAAAGAAGAGATTTAGACATTCCTGTTTTTTTTAAAGTAAGCAGCTAATGGGTTTACTCGTCAGAGACAAAAAAATATTTCCAATTTTTTTGAACTCTTATTTTATATCGCTCTCTCCGAATCACCACTTGAAAGACCCCTTAAGTGACCCCTTGGATCCCGAAAATTACAAGTTTCCCTATCCGAAAACGAACTCAAGAGGAAGAATTTCCAGCCGTCCACCCCACGAGGAAGAATCTCTCGTCGTCTATACTCTCCCACTCTTCGATACTCTCTCACCATGTGCACTCTCGCCGTCTGGCACCCTCCTACTATCTCGTCTCTATATATTTTCGAGGTGTTCCTTCTTTTTTTGCTTCTGTTTTTCCTATGAACTTTATGGATTTCCCATTTTTTTTTGTTTTGTTTTGATATACATCATTTTCATGTTTTTCCGAATTCATATATGCTTTTTTAAAGCTTATAAGTTATTTCCGGTTTGTTAGTGTCCTCAATACTTTTTTTCTGAAATTTTGATTTCGAGCTTTGATGAGAAGATCATAATTCTTTTTGAAAAATGGAAAAATTTTCACTTTTTTTCAATGAATTTAAAAATAGAAAAAAACCCTCTAAAGATCTGAAAAATTCTAAAAAAATTATAGATTTTTTTCTCAAAAATTAAAAAAAGTTAATTCTATCTTTTTGCCTAATACTACAGCCTTAACATTATTCTCGCCAAATTTTTACGATGAAAAAAATTTTTTTCAATTTTTTTGGCTTTTTGTTAATATTTCTTATCCCCTCATGTTCAGTTTTTTTCATGCTGAAATTTGCTGGAACACCTCAAAAATATTTAAAAAAATCATTTTATTTAAAAAAATAGAAATTTTTCTTTCCTCGAGTTCAACTTTAACAGCAAGTAAAAAAATAGTAAAAAATCAAGAAAAAAATGACATTTTAATCGGAAAAAAATTGAAATCAGTGTGAAAAATAATTCTTTGAACGATTTTTTTCGTGAAAAAAACAAATAAATGTTTCAAACTTTTTACCATACAGATCTGAAAGAAAAAAACTTTGGAGAATCTTTCGAGATAACTTAACTTTTTATTGAAACAGAGAAGAAATTTATTTCCGGCAAAAAAAGAAGTCTTGTTTTCGTATATCCCCGCACAATATTTTATTCAAAAACTTTTTATAATTTTTTTCGAAAAATTGTCTCAAAAATTAAATAATTTTTTTTCAATTTATTGAATATCCGAAAAATACCCTCACCAGAAATTTTTCATATTTCAGTTTCAAAAAAATTTTTTTAATCTGCAAAAAAATTGCTTTTTCTTCGCTTCGTTACGTTTGATGATTTTTTTCTGTGATCTTGTTTAATTTTTTTCAATCTCAAAAATTTTCTGAACCATTCTCAAATTGTATCGAAATAACTTCAAAATGAAAAAAAAACTTTGAAAAAATTCGGATTTTTCAAAAATCTCGTACAAATCGAAGTAAACAGAAAAATATTTTTTACCTCACTTGAACTCAATTTTCAATGAGAGAGAATAAAGTCAAAACAAATGAATGATAATAAAACAAATTGATATACCACTTTGAGTAAAAAAAAAACTCTCGAAGTCAAAAAAACAGCTTCGAAATCCTCTAAAACCCCTTCAAAAACCAAAAAAAGAAACCGAGAAGGATATAATTTATTTCTCCTAATTTTGGGTTTCTCTACCCCAGTCTAGCTCAATTTTTCCGATTTCCAACCTCTAATCTTTTTGAATCGAAGCTTTTAAAAAAATCTAAAAAAACTCATGAATCAGCTTTTTTTCCAGTCGAGTTATGCTTTTTGAAGTTCTTGAAAGAGTAGAAAAAAATATTCAAAAAAATCTTAAAAAAATCAACTAAAAATATTTGAAAGTCCAATACAAATACAGCCTTGTCTTTAGGGAAAAACTGAAAATTGATAAATCAGCTTTTTTAATCGAAAAAAAGTTTTGAAGCCTTGTAAAAATACCAAAGTACCTCAAATCCTCTAAAATCCATTTCTATAACCTTTTAAAGTTCAACCCAAATATGCTTGTTTCCAAGAATTTATAAAAAAATCGATAGATCAGCCTTTTTCCGTTAAAAAAATTTATTTTTAAAGCCTAAAAAAATCTACCTCAAAATCATATGACAAACATAAAATAACCTGTATCATAAGTGAATTAATAATTTCCAAATTTAACGTTTCTAAGAAAATTTTCTGTGAGCTCAGGCCATCTGACAACTCAAATTTTCATTCTCCATTTTAAGACGTTCCAAAAATCGATAGATCAGCCTTTTCCGTTAAAAAGTTCTCTTAGAGCTTAAAAATCTACCTCGAAATCGATTCCATCTGACTAAAACAACCAATAAATATTGATTGATTGATTAAAATCATTTGTGAATCACCATAAAAGTCAATCTGTCATAGGTGAATCAGTAGTCTCCAAATTTCACGTTTTTAAGAAAAATCTCTGTGAGCTCAGGCCATCTGACAACTCAAATTTTCATTCTCCATTTTGAGAGGATCCAAAAATCGATAAATCAACTTTTCAACTCCTTTTGAAGCCTTGAGGACCCTTCGAAAAACACTCAAAATCATTTCTCTCTTTCTGAAAAGGAAAGTGTGTAAGGTGATCATCGCATATCCGGCCCAAACTTCTGTGATATGTAGGCCTAGGTATAGTCATCAAAAATAAAAAGAAATGTCTGCTAAATCGTCGAAAAATTAAGGAAAATTCTCAAAAACATCTTTTCTTGCTTTCTCGTATTTCTTATGATTCAGTAACCTGCAGGAGATGATTTAGAAACCGGAAAACCGAAGAAAATCAGGCTATTTTCCGGCACCTTATAGCAGATAATTTTTTTCTGTTTTTGATGACTTACACCTAGGACTACTTATCACAGAAGTTTGGACCAGACCTGCGAAATCCACCTCACACACTTCCCTTGTGAGATCAATTCCTTCCAGCCCAGAGTATTCTTTCAGTGAAATTCTACTATTTTCTCTTCCTCTAATTTATCGATCGGCCCATCATATCCAACCTTTTTCTTGTTTCATAGAAAAGTGCCGCGACTTCAAAAATCATCTGTGAATCGATGAATCAGCTCTTTCATTCTAAAAGCGCTTTTAGAGCCTTGAAAACTATCCAAAAATATCTTCTAAAGAGCTCGTTTTTCGAAATTTCTCAATCGTCCAGCCTCCCAAAAATCGATGAATGCTTCTATTGAAAACAGCTCCTGATGCCTTGAAAAGTCCATCGAAATCGATTCGCGAAAAATCATTTTCCTACATCAAGTTTTACGTTCCTCGGACCAATTCTCACGATCTCAGGACCTTCCAAAAGCTCATTTTTTAAACCATTTTTCAGTCTCCAAACTTATTCAACTAACCAAAAATCAATGAACCAGCTGTTTCAGTTAAGCAACGTTTCTTGAATCTTTAAAAAACTAGCAAAATCTTCCGAAAATCAATCCGGAACGCAGGTAAATCATTTCTCTTTAAATACCACCTTTCCGAGATCAATTCCTTCCAGCCCAGAGCCTTCTTTTAGCAAATTTCAACTATTTCCCTTTCCTCCAATTTATCGATTGGCACATCCAACTTTTTTCGGTTGTTTCATCATAAAAAAGTGCCGTGTTTTCAAAAATCAATGAATCAGCTGTGGTCCCGAAAATCGTCTGTAAATCGATGAATCACTTGTTTCAGCCAAAAAGCGCTTTTAGAGCCTCAAAAACTATCCGAAAATTATTTCTTAAGAGCTTGTTTCGAAATGTTCTACCCTCCAAGTCTCCTAAAAATCGATGAATCAGCTGCTTCTGTCGAAAACAGCTCCTGATGCCTTAAAACGACCATCGAAATCGATTCGCAGGAAAATCATTTTCCCTCATCAAGTTCTACGTTCCTGGGACCACTCTTCACGATCTCAGGACCTTCCAAAGGCTCATTTCTAGTATTTTTCAGCCCTTCAGTTCACCAAGAATCAATGATCCAGCTGTTTCAGTCAAAAAACTCTTCTTGAATCTTCAAAAAACTAGAAAAACCTCCAAAAATCAATCCGGAACGCAGGTAAATCATTCCTCTTCAAATAATACCTTTCCGAGATCAATTTGAGTCTTCTTTCAGTGAAATTCTCCTATTTTCCTTTCCTCCAATCTATCGATCGGCCCATCATTATCCAACCTTTTCTTTGGCTTGTTTTATCATAACAAAGTGATGTGCTTCGATGTCAAAAGGCCTCCAGGAGCTCCAGGAGCCTTTCCCGCTGTGGCCGTCTGGCCGCCCTCCTCGCTCACCACGCTGTCTGGGAGGGAGACGAGAGAGTGCGGAGGGCGCCCGACGGTCAGACGGGCGCAGTCCACCGGTCCTCCGCACACGCCCCCCAACACCATCTTCGTTCATTTTTCCTACCGCTCCTCCGTCGACTTTTCCTTATTCTCTCTGAATTTTCCCTCAAATCTTCAATCTTCCACCCCTAAGGGACCACTTTAGCAGGATCCCTTGCCATAATGTCTCGAAGGCTTCTATCATGAAGCCCTTATAGTCTCACTTTTTTTGAGGTCTTCAGATGTCCCTTAAGCTCCTTAGAGCTTATAAGACGTCTCAAATTTTTTTAGGCGAGGTTCTAGAAAACGTAGAAATGATATTCCTAGAGAAAAAAATATAGAAATAAGTTTTTTTTAGGTTAAAAAAAGTTTGAGAAAACTTTTTGAGTTCTCCGATAGCGCCTGGGACTTTCTCAGAGCTTTCAAAAAAATTTTTCTGAAAGCTAAAAAAATGAGACTAAAACTGTAGGTCCAAAAAAATACGACAAAAAAATGATTTTTTTCCAAAAAAAGCAGATTTTTCATTTTTTTCAAAAAAATCCAGAAAATTTTGAATCGTTTTTTTGAAAAAAATTTTTCGAAATTTCATTTTTTTGAGCGTTATTTCACTATCGATGAAAGTATTAAAAAATTTCGAAAAACGAAAAAGAATCTCGAAAAAAATTCCAAAAAAATGAGATTTTTTTGATTTATTAGCCGATTTCCACTGAAATTTTTTTAACACAAATTTTTTTCCAAATTTTTATTGGCCTCAAACTTTTTTTCATGCTCTTTTAAACTTCCTAAAAGCCTCAGAAGACCTCAAAAACCTCAAAAACAAAATCTGAAAACAGTTAGAAAAAACAGAAAAAGTAGATTGACGGCCTGAAGAGACGCCAGACGACGAGAGCGTTTCTAACTTCTCTGGCGTCTCTTCAGGCCGTCGCTGGTTTCTTCAAGCCATAGGTGTTTCGAAAAAAATATCTAAGTGATATTGAGAAAACGTTGAACTCCTGTAGAGACGCCAGGGAAGTCAGAGAAGAGCACTCTCGTCGTCTGGCGTCTCTTCATGCTTCTGTCACACTCTCATTTCCGCTTCTTTTGTTTCTCCAAGACGTACAAAAAAGTGACAGTGAGGAAACTGTGAACCCTTGAAGAGACGCCGACGGCGAGAACGCTCTGGCTTCTCTGGCGTCTCTTCACGTCTCTCACGCCCTCGCATTTCCGTCTGTTTTGACTCTCCAAGCCTCAGGTGTTCCAAAAAGCTCCGTGAATCAGAGACGCTCTCGTCGTCTGGGGCCTCTCCACGCTTCCAATACTTTTCGATGTTCGCTTTTTTGATCTTTCAAGCCTTGGCTGATCACAAACAATTCTAAGCAAGAGAGGTTAGAGAAGTCAGAAGCGCTCTCGTCGTCTGGCGTCTCTTCATTTTTCTTGCTCTCTCTCCTTCTTCCACTATCTTCAAGCCTTAAGTGATCCCAAAGGATTCTGAGAATCTTTAGGAGACTCTCGTCGTCTGGCGTCTCTTCATTTTACTTGATCTCTATCCATCTTCCATCATATTGACCATCCAAGCCTTAAGTGATCCAAAACGATTCTGAGAAATTTAAAGACACTCTGATCATCTGGCGTCTCTCCTACTCCCTCTTCTCTTGTTCGCCTTAAAATTTCGCAATCTCACCATCTTTCCTCAAAATCCCAACTTACAGAAATGTGTCTCGAGTATCCGAAAAAGAACGAAGCGGAGCGTGTCACGCCTCGCCTGAATCCCCACGTCGTGCAGGCCCACATCCTCATCCAGCCGCTGCCACCGCCGCCAGACGTCGTCAACGAGTTCCCGGCGCGGTTCCAGCCGTACCTGCAGAGAAGACGTCAGCGCTCGATTGCTGGTCTGATCGCTCGTCCGCCTCTGGATCCTGCAGCTCCGACTCGAGCTCCGACCCCTCCGCGTACTCCAGCTCCAGCACCACCTCAGCCTGCTCCGAATGCTCTGCAGCAGAACGCTCCAGGTCAGCCTCAGCCACTGCCTCGTGAGCAGCTCCAGACGCTCGTCGACGTCCTCGACGGCTCGACGCTTCCTCATTGCGTCATCGCCGTGTCCCGAGCGCAGACCGGTGCGAGACGTGCCCAGCCTCAGGCCGCCGGCGCGCCTGCTCAAGGAGCTTCGGCTGCACGTCTTCAGGGTCCGGCTCCGACGCCGTTGCCGCGTCGTCCTCGCGAGGTCGACGACTTTGACGTCACCGCTTCGCCGACCACGCCTCCTCCAGGACTCTCCGAGAGTCAGGGTGAGTTCTGACGTCACTTATACTGTAGTCCAATCACGAGATGCTTGAAACAGCTCGAAAAAAAAAATTGAGATCGAATCGTAATGAATAAAAACCATTCCAAGTCCCAAACGACGTTGTAATCAATCATTAGGCGGATTGAAAAGTGCACTGATTAGTGATTATTAAGTGAAAGATTCTACAACTAACTTGTTTTTCTCGTAACCCTGACAACCTAATTAAAATCGAAAACAAGCTGACTCAACTAATAAATAATTTCAAGTAAAGCTCAGAAAACAAATTCTAGCATGACGTCATCAAAATTTAATGAAAAGTGACGTCATTTACTCCTAGATTTTTGAATAATCCTAAATTTTTTTCAAGTAGTGAAAAAAATGATACTATTTCCTTAACATGAAACTTGTTGAATGACGTCATAAAAATGCCTATTTAAAAAAAGTCAGTTTAGAATCATTTAATAGACCCTGTTCAAAAAGTGACGTCATAAATTTGGAAAATTTCACAAATCAATAAATGACGTCATCAGTGTTCATAGTCAGATATAAGAGAGAAGTAGGACACTCCCAATCGATTTTACAGCACATTTCTGGAGAGCAAGTGAAGAAGTGACGTCATAAATTTGCTAATCAAGCTACTTTTTTTTTATAAAAATGACGTCATCTACTGTTTCGAGTCAGATATAAGTAAAAAAAGAAAAAGTACTCTAAATTAATTTCTGAAACGCACCATTTTTGAAAAAAAGAATGACGTCATAAAAATTGGCAGATTTTTGATAATCAAGCAAATTTTTCTTCAATTACACCCCAACAATTATCAAAATGACGTCATAAATTCAACAAATTTAAATTAAAAGTTTGAAAGATGACGTCATAAATTCAACAAATGTCTTAATAAAGTGGCTTCTTCATGAAGATTGCGTGAAATTTCTCAAAATGACGTCATCTTAAAGTCAGAGATAACATAGAAGTAGGATATCTTTTTTGGAGAGCAAGCTCAAAAAGTGACGTCATAGAATCGTGACATTTTGATAACCAAACGAAAAATCCTCAGAATGACGTCATAACCTATACAAATTTGAATGAAACGTTTCATGATGACGTCATAAATTTGCTAAATTATAATAATCAAGTCTTTATGAAGGCTGCTTAAAATTTCTCAAAATGACGTCATCAACTACTTATAATCAGAGATTAAAACTTGACGATTCTATGACGTCACTTTTTTTAGCTTGTCCGAACAAGGTATCCTACTTCTTTTTCATCTCTGACTTGAAGATGACGTCATTATGAGAAATTTCGAGCAACCTTCATGAAGATGATATATGTGACGTCATCTTGAAACTTTTCATTGAAATTTGTTGAATTTATGACGTCATTTCGAGGATTTTTCTACTTAGCTTTAGGTCAGAACCTTCAAAAGATAAAAGAGAAGGAGAGTACACATTTTTTCAAAAAAAGCTCAAAAAGTGACGTCATAACCGCGTATTTTTCAGTTCGTCGCTACTGGGTCCGTGGGGCGGAGCACGCCGGCCAGTGTGACGCACCTAATGGCTGCTCGCGGATGTGCCAGCTGATCAAGATGACGGCGATCCACGGACGCAACTGTCAGCGACGGACGACGTGCGTCATCTGCCAGGCCTTCTTCACCGCCGTCCGTCATCACATGATCCTCCGCTGCGACCACGACGTCAACTGCCGCACGCCCTTCTGCGCCGAACTCACCCACGCCTACAAGGAGAGCATCAAGGAGTGAGTCCTGCTTCAGAAGTCGTCTGTAATACAGCATTTGGTGATAATCTTATCCATTGATGGGGTCGCCTCCTTAGATCATAAAAGAAAATTTGAAAAACTAGACTTCAGAGCCGCATTCGGAATGGCACTATGACGTCATAATCAATATTCGTCTCCTTTTCATTCTTAAAAATACTTTCTTTCAATCTCCATTATCCGGGAGCCTACCAAATGAGCTCGACTCCAATACCGCATTTGTAATAGGTTTATGACGTCATAACTCATTCTAATGACGTCATAATAAAATTTCTTCCCCTTTCCATTTGGCCGCATTTGGAATGGATTTTAAAAAGTTTTTTTTCTAACTAGTGAATTGTATTTTTCAGCTACATATTGGCCGCATTTGAAATGGCTTTTTTATGAAAGTTTTTACCAAACTTACCAGGGAATACTCCGGTCGCAGAGGACCCTTGAATAAGAACAAGTTTACTAGATTTAGTTTTTCACGCTGATTTCAAACCTGGTCTTAAAAACTGCCAATGAGATCTGGGAAAAAAGTTATGGACCCTCAAAAGTCGAAAATTCCTATGTCTCCGATTGACCTTATTTTTAGGGGGTTTACTTTTGAGGGCCCATAACTTTTTTCACAGATCTCTCCGGCAGTTTTTGAGACCAGATTTGGAATCAGCGGAAAAACTACATTCGGGTGTCCTACTGCGACCGGAGACCATTCCCTGGTTAGATCAGGATGGCCGCATTTGGAATGACATTTTGACTGAATTTCTCTAACCAATAACTTTATAAGTTCAGCTACATGCTGACCGCATTAAGAAAGACCTTCGAAAACTGTCTACCTCACTAATAATCGTCAAACTTTTGCAGCTACATGCTGGCCTACCGCGACGTGATGAACAGCTTCCAGACGCAGGAGGAACGCGACGAGTTCCAGCGCGAGTTGCAGCAGTTGCGCGAGCAGCGCAACGTCCGCAGGCCCAATGTCTACATGCATCGATAAACGTCCGATGACTGTTCATCTATCATTCCCCTTTGACCATTTTGAATGGTGTTTCTATGCATATATTCTTGTGTTCGTGATCGATAAATGTTATTCTCGGAGCCTTATCTTTGTTTGAATTCAAAAAAAAGAAAGCCTGGTTTATATGAAGCTTGATTCAGATAGAAAGCTATCAAGAGTCTCAAAAAACAAAGGACATTTAATATCGAGTAGCCTGATGACAAGAAAAGAAGCTGAATCCGTCTCGTTGGAAGGCTAATTTATACGAAAAACCTTCATAATCCGAAAAGTTCCTTCAATGTTAATCGCCTTAGTATCAATCGAATAAAAATTGTGCGACCTAATAAATGGTATCTGAAACAGCTTCATAAGGTCAAAAAATTTGAGCCGGTCCTATTTCAAGTTTCAACTAAATGAAAATTTTCGAAAAGCTTGAAAAATTTCCAACTTATTAAAATTTCAACAGCTTCCTCCAATTTCGATACAAAAGAGGTCAGGAAAATGAGTGTTACCGATTAGTTTCGAAAAAAACCAGGAATGAAAAGAAAGAAATGGAATTGCGCAGTTTAGTAAGGTTTTTCCTGACTTTCCGTTTATTTTTTTTTGAAACTTCATTTTTTGAATTCTTTTTCGATTTTTTATACAAAAAGCAAAGGTTTCAAAATTTTCTCGAATTTTTCATGCTTCAAGAGCATGCCTGAAGACTTCTTGCCTAAGAATACCTCTACCGTCGCTTACGACCATATCACGTTGAAAACACGCCATCCCGTCCGATCTGGCAAGTTAAGCAACGTTGAGAGCCGGTAGTACTTGGATCGGAGACGGCTTGGGAATTCGGCTTGCCGTAAGCTTTTTTTTCGCTTTTACAGGGGCCAATTTGCCAATTTTTTTCAACTTAAATCAGTAAAAAGCTGTTTTCGAATAATTTTTAAACCTTGGAAAAGTGTAAAAAATAATATTATAAGAGCCTTTTTGGGCCGTTGGCTCTAGCTGGCCATTTACTAGAAAGTCCAAGTTATTCGCTTACAATATATCAAAACTGATAGGCTATCGAACCCCCTCCAGTGACCACTCAAATCCGCCAAACGTTGTGTAATTTTGCCGCGTGTTGTGAGGTCACTTCGAGAGAGGTATAAATTCAGAGACCTCGAACTGATTTTTGAGTTTTGTTCTATCTAGTTTGTCCTTCTTTTTGATTACTTTGATGATGAAAACAAGTGCGTTTCGTTATCATTGATAGTGAGAAACCGATAAGAGAGTTTCTTTTTCTCGATTTAGCGTCAAAAAATGGCCGATTTTGACGTTGTCGTCGTTGGCGCCGGTATTTTCGGCACCTGTACCGCCTATCATTGTCAGAAACTCGGTTTGAAGACTTTGCTACTGGAAAAGGTATGGTTTTACTACAAATTAGCGACGAAAAATTGAAAAAAAAAACTGCAACTGAGTCCAATTTTCTTTTATGCGAAAAAGAGCTTTTTTTCTTGTTTTAAGTGCGCTCCAAGGCTAAAAAAAATCAAATGTTTTCGGAAGAATTCTTTGGCAAGTTCTGAGAGCTACTGGTTCTGTTTCAGAAAAAAATAAAAAGAATTTCAGCCAACTCTTATTCAAAAAGTTTTAAAATTACATGTTTTTTTATCGGAAAGTAATTCATCAGATGTATATATAATGAATTTCCACTCTAAGTGACCACTAAACTGATTCACTGCAGAAAGCGCGAAAACTGGATTTTTTTCTACCCTATTGCATGAACTTTTTCATTGGGTGATCAATTATTCTCATTAAATGGCATGAGGATAAAACTTTCATAGAGTTCGATAAAAATCTGATTGGCACTCCAGGGATTCTTATAGTTTATAGCAGGTTAATCACCGTTTCTGATCAAAGAAACTTTCTGACCGTCACAGAAAGTCCAAAATTGAAGAAGAGTAACCCAAGACAATCCTAGCCACTTTTCAGTACTCAGCGAACCACGAGAACGGTAGTTCCCATGGGAAAAGTCGGATCACGAGATATGCTCACACCGACTCGGCCTATGTTCCTTTGGTCGACGACGCCTACTCTCAGATCGACGAGTTGGAGAAGAAACGAGGCGAACAGCTTTGGAAGTTAGTTTAGTCCATTCACCTAGGGTTCTATAGCTGATTCACGACTGGCTTCAGCCATCGAGGAAAGGGTCCTGCCACGAAAAGAGACGAGACAGTGCCTTGGTTGGTCGAGAGTGCAGACAGGCCACGCCTTTTTGCGTCCCAAGCTAGCCGTGAATCGTCTATAGACACTCAGCTTGACGTCGGAATCCCTTGAAACATTCTTGCGCCCGACCATTCGTGACTTTCGCGCTCTACGTCCCAGCTTGTTTCTTTTTGTATCTCCTATCCTCCTTTTTCCTGTTTTCCCGATTTCTGTCTTCTATTCCTCCTAGTTTCACGCACTCTCTCGAAACCGTTTGCCCTTAGAGTCAAAATAAAAATAAGACTAACATGAGCAATGATCAGCAATTTCCAGGAAGACGGGCCTTTTGTGGGCGGCGACTGGCAACGTCGTCCCGAACATTTCGGCGGTTTTGAAAACCCACAAAGTGGACCACGAAGTTCTGCAAGGGGCTGAGGTTCTTCTTGAAAACTTGGAACAGTCTGACCTTTCTGGGCTCTCTTCCCTCTCTATGGCAAGGTTAGAGAAACAAGGAAAAACCACGTAGAGGAAAGAGGGCACAGAGAGCTCAGGGTGCTTCGAGTTGAGTATGAAGATCAATCGTTTTTTTTTGGGATTCGTATTGAACTTTTTTTTCAGAGAAAATTTTTCAACAGCAATGCCCTATGAACTCTTCGAGACCAAAATGATCCAACTTTGATTTCAGATTCAAAAAAGGTACCCTCAATTCGCATTCGACAACGAATGGTTTGGACTTGTGGACCCGATGGGCGGCGTTATCTTGGCTGATAAGCAGTTGAATGCTTTCCGGGTACCCTCTTAATATATTTGAAAAATGGATGATCATACTGAAAACTACAAAAAATCGTGAATTTAAACTGTCTATCTGTCTGCGCTCTCTTTCTCTATCGTCCGTCAAGTTTAGTCTATTTTACCTATCTGTCTGCGCTCTCTTTTTCTCTCAATCAAAAAAAAAAAAACAAACTTTGAATGGTTGAAGCTATAAAGAGGGTAGGAACTCTAGAGTGGCCACTATAGGGGCAAGCTTAGGGGCCTTTGGAGGGTCCACTTTACCAACCCCTATAGGGGCCACTGATGCTTGCAAAAGTGGTCCCTATAGGTGTTTTATTTAGTGGAATTCTATGCGAAGAAGCATTCTCATGGGAAAAACTGAATAAAGAAGGGTTTATTGAATGAAATTGAGAGACCCCTATAGGGTCCACTTGAGCTTTAGGGGCTAAGGTTTCAGATCCTAAACTCCTTTAGGGACCCCTTAAATTTAAAATTAGCGATCCTTTCTTGGAGACTAGTCAGAAAGAACCCAAAATAATCTCTCATTTGAAAAAAAATCAAATTTTATTTTTCCAGGACGAGTACCTGAAGTTGGGCGGTCAATTCCACGACAACGAGGAAGTCAAAAACTACGCCGACGGTCCAGTTGTTCGTGTCGAGACCCAAAAACGGACGTACACTGCAAAAAAGGCCATTTTCACGGTTGGAGTCTGGATCAAGCAGTTTTTCCCGAAAGCTCCTCTCAAGATTGAGGTACTTTTTTACATTCCTCCAAAGAGTCTGTCCTGTCTGCGCTCTCTTTTCTCTCACCGACGAGGTCACAGAATCATGGAAACATCATGTAAAGATAAGAGAGCGCAGAGAAAAAAAGGCGTGAAGGAATCAGAAATTTTCAAGTAGAAGAGTTCATGTACAGAGGAAATAAATTTTTCAAAATTTCGACTAATATTATAAATTATCAGCCGATCTCCATCTCGGTGTGCTACTGGAAGGCGAAAACCGGCGAATGTCGGGACATGCCAGTCTTCATTGGCCAGGATCCGAAACACCAGACTTTCTGCTTCGCCCTGCCGGCTACTGATTATCCGGACTTGATCAAGGTTTTCATTTTTTCCGACTTGAAGCTCGTGGCCGCAGTTGGAATGGTTCAACGGTTGCTTTTTTTTTGCATCCGACCTAAATTGACTTGCGCGCTGATGAAAATAGTCATTTTTTCTAATAGCGCTTTGAGCCATTCCTCATGCGGACATTTTCTCAGGCTGTATAAATTTTTTCCAGATGGCTTATCACACAGGGGACCCTATCACCGATTATGAACATCCGAAGGAATCTGACGAGGTTATTGACTTTTTTTAGTCATCGAAATTTTTTTGAAAAGTTTGGAAATAAAGTCAATCTAGAGAAAATGTCGATACTTCTCCGCTCCCAAGTATTTGATTTCACTTCAAAAAAGCAAGTAAATAATAAATTTGAGCCACTCTAGGGACCACTACAAAAATTTTTCTCTGAAAAAAAGCGCGAAAAAGGGAAATTTTTTTAATTTTTTTAAAAATCAAGTTATTCTCTTTTATATATTTCATTTTTTTCAAGTTGCTAGGGACATTTTTTTTGGAAATTTTAAAGAATATGTAGTTCTTTTTAATTGAAAAAAATGGGTGAATTTTTTTGAGAGATACAAAAAAAAACTGATTATTAGCCTTGGAGCGCACTTTCACAAAATTTCGAATTTATCCATTTTCCTGAATTTTTGACTCTTGTTTATAAAATTTTCGAACGTTTCTTTCTACTTTTCGATAAGTTTAGATCTGAAATTCCAGAAATACGTCTCGATTCCCCGAGACTTCATCCAAAGCCATATTCCCGCCGTCGATGGTTCCAAGGCGGCCAGGGTCGATAAGTGCAAATATACGGTAATTTCGCCTCTTTTTATTCAACTAAAAAGTCCAAAAAATGAATCTAAGGTCTCCGAGGACGACAAATACGTGATCGGACCATTCCCGGGAATGAAAAACGTGTTGGTCGGCGGCTGTGGCTCGGGATCCGGATTCAAGGTGATTTTGATGTTTCAGAAGTCTTCCAAGTATGGTTGAAACTCTTACACAACTATTGACGTTTTTTAAAGAAAACCATTAAAAAAGCGCGAATTCTCGGGTTGTCTGCCATTTTTTTTTGGCTTTTTTAAAATTTATTTATTTTACATAATCTTCAAAGCTTTAGAATATATTCACTTCAAAAAAAGAACTTATATTCCACAAGAAATCCGATAAATTTTGAAGTGGTGCCAAAAACCGCGCCCTGTTTTACCAACACATGAAATTGCTCCACAAACCATGAGATTAAACTAAATTGACCTTTAGCTTTATAGCCTAGTGGCTAATAATCTTGTCTCCAAGTGAAAAGGTCTCTAGTTCAACTTTTCAGGTAGATAATTAGGTTTCCAACTCGTAAATTTATAAATATCCCTGTTTTTAAGTGATCCCTAGTGGAATAAATAAAATAATGGTCAAAACAAAAACTTTCTTTTTCAAGCTTTCGAGAGACAGGAATTTTTTAACGTTTAAAAAGAATAAATTTTGTATATCTGCTTGACTCAGGTATACTGGAATGGTCACTGGTCAAAAAAAAAGCCCTTATAGTGGACAAAATAGTGCTCCCTGAAGGGTCAGAATTGAGGTGGTCCCTATAGGGATATAGGGTCTAAGCCTTTAAGCTTACGCGGCCCCTACAGTAGTCGCTTAATTATAGTTCTGATTTGAAACTTGAGAATATGTATAGAGACCACTAGCATGCTCCCCTAGAGTGGCCACTTTGCAAGCTTTAGCGCCCCCTAAAGAGGGAGGTAAGGTGGCCCCTTGAGGGAAATCTACAATAGCTTTCAAGGTCGCCACTCTAGGGATCACTCTGACGTTTCCTGAAGGATATTCCCGGCTGACTTGAGTCATCAAAAAAAGGGTCCTGACGCGATAAGAAAAGAGATAGTGTCTGGTCCGTGGAGAGCGCAGACAGGCCACGCCCCCTGAGTGTCTCGGCTCTAGAGCTTTTGTCTATGACTTGAAAAGATTCTGATTCAATCTCAGCGGCAAAAAATCGATAAGGCTCTTAATCAAAAACAAAATACTCTCGGGTTCAATCTCCATCGGAGAAACTCGATTTTTGCCGGAATCTAACAAGATTCCAGGCCTAAAAAACGTAGTCCAGTGGCTACCAACCTTGTCTATCATCAGAAAGGTCGCTGGATCGGTCCCCCATCTCAGATTTTTGCAGGTGGCTCCAGCGATCGGCCGCGCTCTCGCCGAGATGGCCGCCGGTCGTCCCACGAGCGTTGACGTCTCCGCCTTCTCCTTCGATCGTTTCAACAAAAAATCCAAGATCTGACAATTAAAAAAATCAAAAAGAGACCCAAAATAATCAGTGAAGCTTCCCACCTCTCCACCAATACTTTTTGAACAAATATTCGTGAAAATTAAAATTTTTTTGTTCGAAATACAATTTTTTAATTATGCAATCATTTATGGTACGTCGGATAAAGCACTACACAATCAAAAACAGGTAAAGCGAAATCTTCGTTTTCACAAAAAACGGCAAGAATCAAGGCCAAATAATGCAGTTATATATCGATTCAATCTCACATTTTACAAGCGAATTAGGGCAATTATTATGCAGTTAATTGAAAAAAGAAATCCGTAAGAAAATGCTAAAAATTCTCCTTGGAGCGAACAATCGATTTGGAAAATGGGCGGAGCCTCAAAATTAGTTATTTTCAGGCAAAATTATTCTTCCTGCCTTTTCAAAACTAGTCATGAAAAATGGGCATGGTCTATTTTATTGCTCATGATAGCTCATGGAAAGCTTAATGGACCCTTGCCTGGAGCAATTTTGATATGGAAAAGCTCAAAAACGAAAAAAAGGCGGAGCTAAAACTTATTCCTACCACTTCAAACATGTTACCTTCTACGGTATTGCTCATGCTAGCTCCAAGGAAAATTCAAAACTGAAAAAAAAAATGCAGTCAAACGAGATTCAACAATGAAAAGTGAAGCAATGTGGATAAGTTAAGTAAAATCGAAGCGACGAAAGTGGATAAAATGGGCGGAAAGTCGATAATCGATCATTTCTCGTGGAAAAGCAGCTTGGCCAACTGATCCTTGGCGGCGACGTTCTCGTTTTTGCTCGCCAGACATCGTTCGACGTCGTCCGGGTCGACGGACTGAAGCTCGCAGACTCGTTTGTGGTACCTGGAAAATGGGGGTTTTAGTCTAGTGGCTAGCGATCTTGTTTTTGGGCGGAAAGGTATTTGGTTCGGTCCCTTGGGAGATGAATATTCAATACGTGTCTCCCGTACCGGTAAATCGCACGTTAGGGCGTTTTTATATCGGGTTCATCTTCACTCAAATTCTTCCTTTTCAAATACTCTGTATTTTCGTGTTTGAGCAAAATAAATGAATCTATTTTTGGCGAATCCATAGAAGCTTTATCATTTAAAGTTCATATTTTAGCCTCGGTATTCTGATAAGAGCTCTTTCTTTCGGTTAAATAGGTCTCTGGTTCGATTCTTTCAGGCGGAAACTGGTTTTTGCCAAATAAAAAAGTCAGTTTTTGAAAATTTCTATACTTCTCACGTTTCACCAATAACTGTTTCAGCTTCTGGTTTTGAAGAAATCCTATTCCCTTCCAATTTCTAAAAATTCTAAGATTTCTCAATCTTACGCATATTGGTCTGAGAATGTCACTGGCTCAAGTTCTGTCAATTAAACCATTTTTTAAAAAAATTTTGAGAAAAAAGCCCTTTCGGAAAAACTGAGCCCAAAAATCAATAATTAGATTAAATTTGCTAGAAAAGCCATTTTTTCGAAAGCAGTAAAGCGAAATAAGGGGTTTCAGCATGACTTCGTGACAAGAATTCGATTTTTCGCTACCTCAAAAAATAAAAATTCGCGCAGGTAGCGGGTACCTTTTCCTAGACCTTCATTGAATCCTTAGGCACATTCTCAGGAAATTCCAGCTTCAGACTCAATCAACCTTCCTTAGAGGTTGAAAACTCAAAATTTCCGTTCTTCCCCGAAAAAAAGCGCTCACCGAACTCTCAAGTTGGGCTCGATGGTCCTCAGGACGTGGATCTGGTCCTGACCGAGGAAGGCGGCGATCAGGTCGTTTCTCTTGTCGTTCGGCCCGAGTCTGGCCCGAGCGGCGACATAGTCAACGCCGTAGACGGCGAAGCAGGAGTAGTCCAAGGTGTCGAATCTTCCGTAGTCCTTCTGGACGATCAGCGGCCGGGTCCGTTTGGGTTCAACGCCGTTTCGGAGTCGGGACAGGGCGGCTTCTCGGAGGGTCGACTGTTTGGAGCTGATCTCGGACTGCTTGGCTTCCTCCTCGGTGATGTCCATGCCGGAGATGATCGGGTGGTACTCGACGAATGGGACTGGGAAGAAGACCTAAAAATTTGAAGGTTATTATTTTATCATGATGGGCGGGTGCTTCAACGGGTCTACCCGAATTAAACCCGTGTTTTTTGGGTTGTTTATGTTTCAGCTGTGCTAAACGGAAGAAAATGGGTGCAAGAAAAAAAAATCTGACCAGGTGCATCAGCTGTGGAAAAAAATTCCAAAAGATCTTCCAGCTGTGCTCAAACGCGTGCACCCGCTGAGAGCCCGTGTCAGCAGGGCTGGGGGGGGGGGGGGGGTTCAAGAAGAACTGGGGGACTCAGCTGTGTTTATTTCGAAAATCTGAGAATCAACTCGGCTAAAACGGTGGCAAAAGACCACAAAATATCTCCCAAGTGTGCCCAAACGGGTTTGACACGGGTGAACCCGCTGAGAGCCCGTTTCAGTAGGGCTGGTCTACCCTCATCAGCATGAAATTTCAATATCTCATTGGAATACACTACAAAAGTTATTGATTAACTTCCTAAAAGCTTACAGGTCATTCTCCAGAGCTTAAAAGAGTCTGACTGCTTTTTTTTCTCAGCATCCCTCTCAATTTTACGTGCTATTTCCATTTTATGAATTCACAGGTTAGGGAAAAGAGGGCGCAGGGAGGTCAGAATCCCTAGTTTGAAAGGATATCAAAATGGATCTAGTTCTTTAACCGATATTTAAAAAAAATAAAAAGACCTGGGAATTTCGGAAAAGCTGTCAGTGAAAAAAACATTGAAATTATTTTTGAATTCTCAAAAAACTCCAATCTTCACAAATCCTATAGATCTTTGAGAAAAACCTCTTTTCTTTCAAACTTTTGAAGCTTGATAAAGCTATTTAAACCCCCCTTTCAACTTTTCAAGCTTTCTACAAGCTCTGGAACCCCTCAAAGAGCCATCTCAACTGCTCAATCCAATCACCTGATAACGCTTGAAAAAAGCTATTCAAACCCCCCCCCCTCTCAACTTTTCAACCCTTCTACAAGCAACTCCTCAAAGAGCCATCCAAACTGCCCAAACCTGATAATGCTTGATCGTGTTGATGCGAAGGCGGTCGAAGAACTCCTTCTGGACGTCGGCATGGGGGGACATGAGGGCGTAGATGGTGTTGGCGCCGTAGCGATCGACGGCGTCGTCTAGGGCCGCCGCCGCTACCGTACCTTTGCCCTGTGACGTTACCGACGGATGCACCGTCAGGACGTCCGTGTCCAGGGCCGAGTTCTTGCATCTGGAAGCAACAAAAGTTTAGAAACGGATTCCTGTTGAGGTCATTTAACTATTTCAATCTCTTCAAACAAATCAAATTTATCCATTCTTCTCAAAATTTGAACCCCTGACCTCCTTTTCAACTCCTCCAGATCATTGGTGATATAAGTGGCCGATCGAGGGTCCACTCCAGGGAAAATCGCGACAACCATTCGCGTCTAAATCCTCTACTTTTTGGAAATTCCTGGAAAAATAAACTTTTCTAGTCTCCTCATTAGGGGAAAGACAAAGTCGGGCATGTCGAGCCAGGTGTTTCCTGGCAGGCATCACCTAAATTATCCAAAAATTATGTAAAATGCGAACATTTCTCCGAAACGAACGTCAATTTCGCTTCCAACGGGCACAACGATTGTCACGTCCGTGTCTTCTTTCACGTAGGGGACCTGGAAAAATCGTAGTTTTTATTTTCCTAGTAAAAAAATCTATACACTGAGTTCACCAAGAAGTGAAAGACTCTGGACGCCTAATTAAATGCTTCCGACTTTAAACGACTTTCGCGAAGAGTTACTAATTCGGCGAGAAGTTGAACGAAATCTTTCGAAGCCTAATTTGAACCGCAGCGCTACCACGACGCTTCGATCCATTCCAAGTGCGACCAGGGCATTTTTTAAGCTTTTGAACCGACAAAATAGTGAAAAAAGGTCTTTTCAAACCCAAATTTAGATTTTCTCAAAACGAACTTACTGATGAAAAAAATTAAAGTCCGAAAAACTAAAGAAACCATTAAAATTTAATTTTTTTCTTTCTCTAAAGACCAAGATGAACTGTTCAAATTTTTAAGGTTACAAAGTGCTTGCTACAAAAATGCGCCTGACCTAAAACGACTTTCGCCCAGAGATGATATATTCTAGCCATGCCGTTTCATTGGTTAAATACAACGGGTCGAAAGTTGAAAACCCATTCATACACATTCTGTGAAACTGCAAAGTTTCGTAAATCTCCTTTTTTGAAAAATCATAATTCTTATCTAGGGACATTCTATGAATCTTTCACCTTTTTTTTTGAATTTTTTCAAATCCCTATGTTTTTTTTTTATTAACCTGGCTCATCAACTGCGTGCTGGCGATCATTCGGTTGACGTGGACCCTCCGTTGGACGATTTCATCTTCGGGCTGCTGGGCGTCGTTCGACGGCGGCTGCGGAAGAGCCCCGGCGCCGTTCCTTCGATAGGTCAGGTCGATCATGTAGTCCATTCCGCGGCGGGGGTCGAAGAGCCTTAAAAATCTGATTTATAAATGGTCAGACCTTTTTGAAAGGCCTTAAACTCTTCCTCCCGGATTTTTCTAATTGGAATCTCTTTTATCCCACTCTTCATATAGATTTCAGCTAGTGGCCCCTATAGGGATCATGTAGTTGGTCTCCATATGGATTTCCGTTAGTGACCCCTATAGTGGGCATGCTAGTGGTCTTAATAGGCCTTTCAGTTAGTGGCCCCTAAAGGGATCCTACTAGCGGTCTCTATGGGGGTTTCAGTTAGTGGTCCCTTTAAGGGTCACGCTAGTGATCTCTACAGGTCAGTGGCCCCTATAGGGATCATGCTAGTGGTCTCTATAAGGCTTTCAGATAGTGTCCCCTATAGGGGTCTTGCTAGTGGTCTCTACAGGTCAGTGGCCCCTGTAGAGATCATGCTAGTGGTCTCTATAGGGGTTTCTGTTAGTAGCCCTTCAAGTGAAACACGTTAGTCGTCCCTAAACCTTCTACCATTCTCATTTTTCCAATAAAAAAGAGGTCATGAAAAAATCTCTAAAAACACCTTTTTTTCCTACATTTCACACCGTTTCACCAGAAAACGGACCTGTAGCCGTTCCTCATCTGGAGGAACTCCAGGTCGTGTTCTTCGGCCTCGACTTGACGTCGGGCGGCTTCGACGGCCTCGAGGACGTCTTCGAGGTCGTTCCCTTCCAGGGGATGCACATTCTGCATGGGTTCACTCCGGAAGATCTCTTTCATGTTGAAGAACTCGTAAGAGGGCACCTAGTACCCAATTTCGCGTATTTTTTTCTATTTTTCTCAATCACTTGATATCGATTGGGAGGCTTGGAATAGGCCGGAAGAGCCTCGGGCCAACTGATCGGCTCGCCTTTTTCGTGTGCCGCCTCTTCGGTCAGTTTCGCGACTTCCATCTCCATTTGCTCGATTTCGCGCTCGGTTCTAAAAAATGAGATTTGAAAAAAAAAATCTGGCAACTTTTCAGTTCATGAATTCGCTTTCGTAAGGGTTCTTTTAAACTTTATAAATCGCACGGCGTTTTTTTAGCGACGTCCCGCCCAAATTAAATTTTTCCGTAAAGTGTAATGTGTCGTGTGCATACACAGCGGCGCTCTGGCACACGCCGCGTTAAACTTTATTTTCGCGAACTGAATTTAAGACATATTTTTCCTTATCTGTTGGTTATTTTGAGTTTCGCTTAATTACTTTCAATACGGCATGTGTTTTAAAACGAAAAAAAAAACCGTAAAATCGCGTTTTTTTGAAACGAAAAATGGATTCGTCTCATAACCCCTTTATGCGCCTTTAATATTTCCATTGTTTACGCGTTTCCCCATGACGTCACATGGGAAGATTTTGACCACGCCCCCTTAATTTTTTTGGTTTTAAAATTTTTTCTACTAACTAAAACGCCGTGAATCATCAAACTTTTCCTACAATCTCGAAAAAGTTTTAAAAAAAGCGCGATAACAGATTATATTTCACAGGGAGCCTCTTTTATTCTCTATTTTGCGTCATTTTTGAGTTTTATCCCAAGTTTTCAACCAAAATCTGGATAGTTACCTCTCCATCTCAACCCCGACAAAGTGGTCATGAAGCGCCACGGCGTCGGCGTCGGACAGGATCCTGGGGACGGCCAAGGAACGGTTGAAGGCCGGGGCGTTGCGCCATTCTTCGATCGAGTCGTGGGCGGCTGGGGAATCGGCCCGTTCAGCCCCTCGCCAAACGTCATACCGTACGCCCTGCAAATTTACGGTTTCTATCGATAGTACAGTATTTAATTCAGGCATATTTGGGAAGGCTTTCCAGGCTTCCTTGCATTCGTTCAATTTTACTCTTCTACTCTTTTACCTAATTTTATAAAAATACGCGCCTAGGGTTACAGCTAAAAAATTTACATTATATTTTGCTTTAAGCAAGAGGGAAAATGCTGACGATGGGTCGCCCTCTAAGCCGTCCATTTTTATAGACCCGAAACGGCTGCGCGATACTTAAATTATTTATTTTAATGTAATTCCGTATTACTCTTTCCCAATCTCATTGTAATCACATAATTTCATCCTCTTAATGTTACATTAATAATTTCAACATTCGCTCCTTCAAATTTACGAACCATATCTAAACGACTAGAAACATTTTTTCAGGGTTATTTGCGCTTTGTTTCTTGTTTTCACCGTTTTTAAACTTGAAAATCAAAGACTAAAGAAGAACAGATTGTTGACAATTTTGGCGCTTCTCTTCTCGCCAAATGAGAGGAAAAGAAATCAGTATTTTGGCCACACATTTTCACAGTTTCAGCGAACCTGATGCTCCGTTTTGCAGGTGAGGTTGGTGGCCAGCTGGAGACATTTTTCGAAGGCCAACTGATCTCCGTCGGACGCCGTCGCCAGCATGTTGCACGTGTGGCGTTGTCTGGAACATTTTGAAATAATATTTCTTTCTTCTCATTTTCGTAAAATTGTTTAAAAAGTTCTTTTCCAAGAATCGTCAAACGGAAATGACAAAAATGTAGGAAAAGGCAGGATTTTGGGCAGCGGAAGTATTGGAATGACTTGAAAGCTGCGTTGCGTTCAAATTTACTGTTTCTTCTGGGGTTTCTGAGTTTTCCTTTCGTTTTTGACAACTCTAAGGAAAAATTCCCTCGAAACAAGACTTAAGTACAGTTCAGCAATGTTCCAGAATCTTCAAAAATTCTCCTTTTTCTTCAAAAACGACCCCAAAACGAACTGGATCAAAGTCTGCATGGCAGGGTTGCTGAGCAAAACTCCAGTGTCCAGTCGACACCTTCCGCTTCCGTCGTCCGCCGCTTCGCCCATCAAAACCGGCTCGCTCCAATTTATCTTCAAGGTTTCTTAATTATTTCATATATTCTATACTTATCGAAAAACATCTTGACCTTTAAAAAACTGATTAGGAAATGCTACAAATTTCGTGAGGCTATTTTTCTTGAGCTCTAGGTGAGTTAATAAAAAAAAAACAGGCGGTTCCTAATCTTAACTTTTTCAGATCTTCTAGCCCTTATTTTCGATGAAGCACTAAAAATATGTCGTTTTCCCTTTTTCAAAAATTTGCGCCCTCAAAAAACCTGTCATTCGTCAAAGTTTATTGTGAATAAAAAATGCCTCAACTGAAAATTTCGAAGCAGTAAAATGTTGGTTCGAACATTTCTTAAACCTTTCAAGATTTTTTCAAAAGCACAATGAAAAAACTTCTGAAAAATTAGCCTCTTTTATTGGTTTTTAAGGAGATTGAACGCTTCTGCCCCTTAAATAATCTCAGCAACTTTTTTTAATCATCAAAAAGATGAACAAACCGTATCGATCAGCCTCAAAAGTACGAACGGATTGATGTACGTGGAGTCCTTGACGATCAGGAACCAGTCATAGTTCTCGTGAACCGTCTGAAAATTGGGTTATACAGTACTGTCAGAAAAGATAAGGAGAGTCGTTTCTGCTCATAAGTTCCTCGTATAGGGCTCAATCTTTTTGAAACCTTATAGAGCTCTGGGGGGTTTCACGACCTGAAAAATTCCACCAGAGTGTTACAAATAACAGTCATTACAACTCCAGTAGGTTCCAAAAAAATCAAACTACATACAAGGAGGTTTTTGATCAGGATACCGTTTTTTTCTGATGAAGAGTATACCTTCTCAAATTCAAAAAGATCGTTTGGAGCATAATATTTATAACAGAAATATATTTAGAAGCAATCAGAAAAAAAGCAAAGTCATCTAAAAAAATCTGAAAAATAGGCCTTTCAAAAAAACGCAAAATTAATATTTTCTAGAAAGATCCAGAAGTTCAAAAATTTCGGAAAAAAATCATCAGAAATATTTTTTTAACCCTTAAAAAAACATAAAAAAATTTTTCTACATTGCTATAAATTTCCAGCAAAAAAATATCAAAATGAATGATAATTCATTATTATCCGTTTCAAATAACACAAAAAGCCACCAAAACGACAAGAAAAATCACTATCACGACGATTTTACTACATGAATCATCAAACAAACCTTCCGAAATTCAAGAAATATCGTCCTAAAAATAGAAAAAAATGAGCTTCGATTCGAAAAAAATTTCAATAAAGAAGAAAAAAACTCACGACAGGAATATTGAGTCAATGAAAGTTTAAAAAAATAGCTTTTTAGATTTTCTAAACTCTGATTTTTGTGAATCAAATGAGAAAAAAAAGTTTTCATCGAGGAAATCAAAAATAAGGGTCCAATTCAGCCTAAGTTCATTAAAAATTTGAAAAAAGTCCATTTCAAAGCTTTAGAACTGAATTTTAATTTACTTCAAGCATTTTTTCGTATCGAAGAATAACGTTTACTCTTTTCTATAGTTCGACTCTTACATATACCTTCAAGCTAAAAACTACTCAGGAAATTTTTGAGAATTCACGAAAAAAAATCGATAAAATGAAACAAACCATGTTGAACATGAGGCCGAGGACCATCGAATGCGATTTTTGGCCATTCAATCTGGAAATTTTATATGAAACCAATTAATTTATTCGATAACTTAATGGTCCTTGTAGGGGCAACTTTAGAGGCACTTGTAAGTTCCCCTTAAAGGATCACTCTACCTTCCCTTGAAGAGGTACTAAAGCTCGCAAAAGTGGCCACTCTAGGGCAGAATTCTAGTGGTCCCTATGCGAAAAATCATAGAAAATTGAAAGACCACTTTAGGGACTGCTAAAGCTTCAGGGGCTTACGGGCCAGAGCCTACACCCCTATAGGGACCACCTGGATTCAGCTTTCTAGGTAGTGCTATTCTTCCCCTATGGGAGCTGATTATCCTACCCCTCTAGGGACCACTGCGGCAATCACAAGGATATCACAAATCACATACTTATAGGGGCTGGGAACTGGCAAATTCGTTGGAGTACTCTGAAACGCCAGAGTGGCCCTTAGATTGGCAATCTTAGGAACTATTGTAGTTTCCCTTTGAGGGACCACCTTACTTTCTCTCCTATAGGGGCACTAAAGCTTTCAAAAGTTGCCACTCTAGGGGAGCATGCTAGGGGCCCCTGTACGACAAACCATAGAAAAAATTGAAAAACCACTGTAGGGACCACTCAAGCTTAAGAGGCTTGGGGGTCAGAATCTCGACTCCTATATGGACCATCTGAATTTAAGCCCTCTAGGAAGCACTTTTTGTACACTTTAAGAGCTGATTTTCCCCCGAACCCTCCAGAAATCATTCTGGCGTTCCTAAGAAGACCCCAAACCACACGAAAATTCCAATATTTTACGTACTTATAGGGGCTCAAATTGGTCAGTTGGGCCAAATCGTTGTCGATTCGGCCGGCGTCGGCGAACAAGTGTACCCGTGGCACGTGTCTGCAATAAAAATAATTTTAATTCCCGAAAAATCGAGAAAAAAAGCTTCATTTTTGTTCAGATATTGAGTAAAAAGGACTTAAATTTTAATTATCGTTGAAATTCGCATTCGAAATTTGAGTTCTTTTACCGAAATATGAGCTGAAATTAGCTATTTTTGACCTCAATTCATCATTTTTCTGGTCAAATGCAAGAAAAAAAAAATCGATTGTTCGAAGAAATAGACTGAAAAAGGTTCATATATGCTCAGAAATCGAAAAAGTTTCTTTTCTGAACGAAAACTGATCGATTGGAAGCTTCAAAAAGCCATTTTTTGCCTAAAATGATTGGTTTTTTTTTTCATAATGAAGCAAAGTTTAATAAAAACCTTTTCGAAAATTCAATTTGCACTAAAACTTCTGAAAATATTCAATCTTCCTAACCGATTCTGTGAAATTTCAAAACTCGTCAAAAAACAGGAAAACGCAATTTTTCAGAGCATTTTCTGTAGGAAAAAGCATTTTTTCGGTCAACCGGATATGATAAAGAGTTAAAATACATTCCCAACAGAAATTAAAAATCCAACTCAGCCTAAACCCAAATGGCGCAGAACAAGTCTGCGCCTAATGGCGATTTATATTTATATACCAGAATTTATGACCGGTCAATCGACATTAAAAGTTACCTGAACATCTTTAATTGTTTTCTGAAACGTAATTTGTCTTTGCATCTTTATTCATTTCTTTTCAAAGCAAGGAGGTCAGAGAAATGAAAAGATAACTAAATTTTGGAGAGTCAGAGATCATTTTGCATTAAACACGGCAGTTAAAAAAAAAGATTTTCTGGTCGTTTTTTACAAAAAAGAAAGGGAATAATTCAAATAAGCAGAGAAAAACGGTTAAAACCAACTTTATAAGATTCAACTTTTCCATGAAGTTTATAGTAAAAAAATTTATAAAAAAACCACTCATTTTTCAACCATTTGTTCTTCAAATTCTGTGTTTTTTTTACAGTGCTTTCTATAACTACTATATTAAATTACATGATTCAGGGATATTGAAATTAAGGGAAATTCACAAAATTGCTATGAAACTTTATGAAATTCCCATTTTCCATGCAATCTTTCAGTAAAAAAATTGTGAAAAAAATTTTTTTAAATTTAACTCTTTTTTTGAAAAAAACTGTGAAAAACGGGGAAAAACTACCCTAAAACCCATGATTTAGAAAAAAAGAAATTCATAGAAATCTACAAATTAAAAATTTTATGAAATTCGACTTTTTCCCGGCAATCTTTCAGTGAAAAATTGTTGGAAAAATTAAAAAAATAATAACTTTTTCTTGAATTTTTTTGTTTGAAACGATGATTATTCTGAAAAAAAGCTTCTTCAAAAATTTGACAACTTCAAAAATTAAAATTAAACTTTTTCCATACAAGTTTTTCAATAAAAAAATGACTAAAATTCTTCATTTTCAACCTTTTTTTTCTTCAAATTTTTGCATTTTTAACAATGATTTTCTTCACAAACATCCCAAATACACAGTTAAAGGGAAATCAGAAATCATGAAAACTACAAAACTTCGTAAAATTTAACTTTCCTTTACAAGTTTACGGTGGAAAAGACCTAAAATTCTTCATTTTCTACCCTTTTTTTTTTCTCAAATTTCGTTTTTTTTGTTCTGATTCTCATCAAAACTACCCTAAAACCCTACTAAAATGATTGTATACCTTCCCAAGGTGGTATTGATCGAAAGAGCCAGGGCAGACTCGGCCATCACGGCCACCATCAGTCGTTCCCGAGTGCCCAACTCAGTTGCCGCGAATCTCGACCGAACAACCTGAGAATTAAAATTATCTGGAACAATATCGACTGCTCAACGAAAGCTAATGATAAATAATAATGTTAAAAATATGATCTGAAACAGTAAAATGACATTTAAAAATAAATAGAAACCTTGGGCGTGGCGTCTTGGTTCGGCGGCGCTGGCGGCATTTCATCTTGATGCACCTGGAAAAAACCATTTTTTTCCTAATTAACACAAAAAAACAAATATTTTAGAAATATAAGCGGTGTAGAAGTGATAAGGAATATATAATTGATTTTTGGAGAGTTAGAGATATTTTTGAAGCCCACGGAAATCACTTTGAACACGGCAAACGCTTTCAAACTGGATTAATTAAACCAAAAATTATTAAATTAATAATTCGAAATAGCTTTTAGCAGTACTTTTAAAGTAAAAAAAAATTAATCTGAGAGAGAAATAAACCTAAAATTACTCATTTTCGATTAGGAAATAACTCCTACTGTCTCAATCTTCCAATAGTTTTTTCCAAAATAAAAACGCGAAGGGTTTTCATGACCCAACTCGGGCAAAGATCAGAAAAAACTCAAAAGAACCTTCACGAAAAAAGGCTTTTAAAAAACCTCATGAACCTCTTATTTTCTTGACTTTTTCTTAGACAGGACCTTTCAGGAGAGAAAAAAAAGATTCCGAGAAGATTTTTAAACTTCTTAGGAACTTGAAAAGAAGCTTTAAACTCTTATGTTCTCTCATTTCATTTGCAACGGCTAATCGTCTCGAAAAAATCGTAAAACTTGTCTTTTTTCCCTTCATCAAAAGGAAATTACCAAATATAACAGGGAAATTTCATTATTTATTACAAGAAAAATAAACGAGGATAGGATTTCTATAAAAATATGAGTTTTCAAGCCAAAGACTGACAACAAATTCCCCCTTAGACATTCAAGAATTCTCGCTAAACTTAGAGATTCAAGCCAAAAAGAAAAACCGACCACCCAGTGCTCGCTGACGTCCTTGTAGACCTTGTTCTGCTCCAAAGCACCGGTCTGATCCGTGAGTCGGGCCGCGGAGCTGGGCGAGCACTGTGTCGAGCCGGACCAGGCGGCCAGGGAACTGCTGACGAGCTCCGACGGGCCCGAGAAGAGCGCCATGCTGAGCAAGCTGCCGAGGAGGACGCCGCCGAGCAGCGGCGCTCCCGTCCGGCCGCCCGTCACCATCTTCGTCGGCGACGTCGACGACTGAATCTTTCCTTCCGCTGGTGCTCCTTGAGCACGAGCCAGCTGAGCTCGTCTGAAACTTGCTAATCATTAACAAAAATCAAGAGCTCTGAAATAGAATTGATAAAACGTTTCGACACGAAAAAGAAAAGCTCATGAAAAAAATAAATTTTTGCGATTTTAGCGCTTTTTCTGTAGGAAGCTCATTTTTTGGATCATAAAAAAAATCAATATATTTATTTCTAAGATCCTGCAAAGATTTTAACAGACATTTTGTGAATAAACGATCTTGCAAAGCTAGAAAATAATTTTGTGCCGCTGAATAACCATCAAAAAAATTTTTTTTAGAAAATTTGAAAGAAAAAAGTGGAGATGGAAACCTTGCCAAGACATCCTGAAAACGAATAGTTATATAAAATAAGCTTGAAAAATATGTCAAGAACCTTAAAAAACAATAGGACACTAAAAAAATGAATATTCCGAAAAAAACGCTGATAATAATACTCCTTCGCTTCGATATTTGTTGAGCCATCAGTTAAAAAAAGATTTCTAAGAATAAACATTCCTCATTATCAAAATTCTAGTCGTAACAAAGTTCTGGGGAGTTTTTTTGAAATATAAAAAAATAAAATAGAAGCAAAAAAAGATATACTGGAAACAAAACGAAACCTCGAAAAAATTCCCACCAAGCTAGCCTCTTTGAAAAAAAGGAGAGAAAAAATTGGCCGCATCTAGAAAAAAACGGTCTGAAGAAAAAATTTGAGCCAATTTGTCGGCACAAGGACCCAGTGAGAACATGAAGTGAAAAAAATGGTTCCACAAATTTTTTGGAAAATGACCCTTTTAACAAAATTTGTATGAAAAATTTATCCTGAAACGGCAAAAAAAAATCTTTTTAACGAATATTATAATCATATTTAAATCCTTTTTTGTTTTTTTTTTAAATTTGAATTAAACCACATAGAATATATATAGTGTAGAATCGTGAAAGAATTTATTCAGAAGTGATTTTGAAAGAGAAAAGATTGAATCGAAGCTTTGGACTGAAATTGCGCCAAAAATGGTCATTTCCCGAATTCTAACGACTGCGCTAAAACCTAACAAGCACAGCTGGACCGTTAGATACCTATAAAACCATAAAATTTGGCCCAAAACCGCAAAAAGATCGATAAAATCGGCCCCGCGCGAGGCCTTAAGAAAAAGCCAAGGCCGACGGTTTCTTTGCACAGCTGTCCTCGTGTACGGACAGTTTTTTTTTTCTTCCCGAGCAAATTTACACGTTTACCCACAAATGTTCGGGTAGAACAAGCAGTACATCACACCATTCTGTTTGAACATACTTTTGAACTTCAAGAGGAAGATCAAAAAGCGAAGGAATACAAGATAAGATCTTTGCTGTTGAAAAATCGGAACAAGGGAACTTTTTGAGGGCGCAATAATTATCTGTCCATTCGATCAACTGAACTTTTTGAGGGTAATTTTTCGGGAAAAAGGCAAATTTTCATGGCATGTTTTTCGGAACATACGAAACATGTTTTAAAACACAGAAAATAACTTTGAAACGATAATGTATTTTTCTGGGGGCAAATCAACACAACTTTGCGTTTTTGATACATGTTCCTTTTTTCTGATAAACACGCCATAAAGTTTCTTTCAAGGTTAATTTCGTAATTCTTCAAGAGTAAAGTCTAAAAAATCTTTTAGTATTTAAAAATTCTTGCTGGTACTTCACCACATTTTAGTAAAATCTCGAAGAAAAATATCTTTTTTACACATTTCCAGACAAAATGAAAGCCTTAAAACTCTCGAAAATTCCAGCAAAAAATCTTAAAAATGTTATAATGCATTTAGAACCGAACAAAAACACTAAGAAAAATTCAAAACTGTAAAAAAATAAAAAGTCGGTTTTCAAAAATATACAAAAAGAAGAAATATCGCAAAAAAGCTTCCGAACCAAATTGCCTTGGTAATAACAAACTACTTCAAACGCCCAGAACGCCAAGAAAAAAGAACAAAAGGAAAAAAAACCCGTCGCTCGTAAAACGACACGAAATTGATTGGAATTTGACCTTGGCGCACACTTTCCTCGGAAAAGCTGTTTTTTTGAATTTGACCTCAATCAGGGGGTCAATTTGGTGGAAATTTTTCCATTTTCAGGTTGAAAATATACTTTTCCATTCATATAGCAATATGAAAAACATTCATAAAGCTTTCAAAGTCTTCGACAAAATCTTCAAAAAGAAAAAGAACATTTATTAGTGTCATGTCAATAAAATATTTCTCGTATAAAGTAAAGCTTTGAGCAAATAATAAGGCTTTGAAGGTGAAAAAATGGCACAATAGAGATAATTTTGATGAAAAACTATCGTTGTTTGGACTTCTCTAATAATTGAGAATACAGGGAATTAGGGATTTCTGAGTAAATTTGAAGGGGTGTCGAATTCCGCGACGTGACCGTCGTCCAGTACGAGGATTCTGAGAATCAATTGTTAGATATAATTTCGGAATTTCAAGAGAAATCATCATTTTTTTTTTAATTTCATTTCAATTTTCAGATTAAATTTTGAAAAAAACTTTCACAAAAAGCTGCAAAAAAAGCTCCAGAAAAATGGGATTTTTTTATAATTTTTTTGCTATTTCTTCAAGAGGAACCGAACCAAAGGACTCTTTTTCTCAATTTCAAAAGTTCTACTGGTTGAGTCAGCCTTCCTACATGTCAAAAACCCCTTCTAGAACATTAATACGAAAATTTTTTCCATTCAACTTTTGTCTACCAGTTCCAAGAACACCTTGAACAATATTTAAAAAAATTTCCATACAGTTTTTGCCATTTCCTCAAGAGGAATCGATTCAAGGACCACTTTTCCCTCGTCAAAAGCTCTACCCACTGAGCCCACCTGTCAGAATCGGCAATGGTATCAAGTCGATGGGCGATGGCCAGGGTCGTCGAGGTCGGGAAGTGTGTCCGGACCGCCCGCTGGACTACGCCGTCGGTCACAGCGTCCACAGAAGCCGTCGCCTCGTCGAGGATCACGATTCGACCACCGCGAAGTACAGCTCGGCACAGGCAGAGGAGTTGGCGCTCCCCCATGCTATAGGAAACTTGTTTGGTTTTAAAGGGACATTTAGATTTTCAAAAAATGGCCCTGACACGATTTGAAAAGGCGTTTATTGATGTGAAAAGCTGAAAGTAAAGGAAAAGCCTTTTTCACTTTTTTTAAACACTTCTCCGTCCCAAAAGCTTCAAATATCAACTTCAGGCCCAAGTGAGCTCTTTAGGGTTCATACGTCGAAAAAATTGATTTATTTCTTTACCTCATATTCTTGCCGCCCTCGGCGATGTGTCGATCCAATTTTCCAGTCCCAGACGATGCGAATTCCTTCAGTTGGCAAACGTCCAAGGCTTTCCAGATCTCATCGTCGTGTTTCTCATTGAATGGGTCCAGGTTGAATCGGAGAGTTCCGGAAAATACGACGGGCTCCTTAAAAATGACCCCAAAAATATTTGAGACTGGAAAATTATCGTTAAAATTTCTAATGAATAACTATCGTCGCAGGAGCATTATGAAAAACTTCTTCAAAATATTCGGCGATTTCGTAGTCATAACAGTATAATAAAAAAACCAGGAAGTCCCAGGGGAATGGCTCGAAGCGTCGCGGTCGCGTTGCGTTTTTAAAAGCTGCGCCCGACCTTCGCGTCTTCTCTATGCTATAAGATACCACCGGGCGCCTTTCGTTTTCTTTCCGAGGTAACCGCTTCGCGACCGCGACGCGTCGAGTCATTCTCATATAGAGCGAAAAATCGAAAAACCTGCGGAATGATGATCATTTTCTTGCGCAGCTGATGTAAACCCAGGGAATCCGTCGGAATTCCATCGATTTTAATTTCTCCTTCAGTCGCTTTGATCATTCGGTAGAGGGCCATGGTTAAACTGCTTTTCCCTAAAATTAGCTGACTGAACGAAGTTCCGATTTCAATAAAATTTGAAAAACAAGGAAAGATTTCGTTGAAGCGTTGTTGACGTACTGCGACATAACTCGAATAAAAACATATTTTTTTATTTTTTGACATTTTTTAAATCCAGCAAAAAGCTTTCCCCCTTCTAGGACTCAAACCTGAGCCCTCAAGTTGACAGACAAGGATTCTATCCACTGAGCTAGGCAGAAAAACTCTCCAATCAACTCAAAAATACTTAATGAAGGGACAGGGTTCTTCAAAAACTTCAAGGAACCAGTAAATTTCAAAGAGAAACGGATATTTTAATGATTAGTGAGACTGAATTGCAAAAAAGAGATTTCTACAGTAACCTACGATTTTACGAACAAATTAGGATGAAAATCTTTTCGTGCCTATTATTTCCGCTTTTCTGAGCCTCAGGATCGGATCCTTCGACCTTCCTACTCATCATCTAAACCTCTACCAACTGAGCCAGACTCACCGGATCCAGTCCTTCCGATGATTCCGATCTTCTCGCCGCCAGAAATTTTCAAATCGATATTTTTCAGCACTTTCGGCAGGTCTTCTCGGTATCGCATCGCGTAATTTTCAAATTGAATTTCTCCTTTTTCGGGCCAATCTTTTGGAAGTTCCGTCTCGCCTTCCCATTTCGCCTGAAAAACAGGAAACTCTGAAGTTGAAAAAAATATGTCGATTTTCAGCTTTTCAGGCATCCCTGCTTCAAAAGTCATACAAAAACGAGTCATTAATTGATAGTGTCTTCATATATACAATGGGAATATGTATAGAAAATCGAAAAAAATTTAAAAAAAGTTTTGGAAAAACAGTAATGATAAAAATTTAGAGACGGCAAAAAAATGCTTCGCCGCCGACGGGACTCGAACCAGGGTCGTGCCATTTGACCAGCCTATGCATTCGTCCACTGAGCTATGGCGTCGAAAATTGAAAAATCACAAGGTAAATGATGTTGGGTTTTTTGAGACTGAATGGAAAACAGAAAAAAAATTTTGGAAAATTTTTAAAAGCGGCAAAAATGCTCCGCCGCCAGCAGGACTCGAACCAGGGTCGTTTGATTGATAACCTTCTTTCTACTGATTTAAGTCACATTATTCTTGAAAATCCCAAAAATTGGACAGAAAACAGTGAAGAATAGTCCTGAAACATATTCAGCAGCCAACAAAAATGGTGGAGCCTCAGCAAAACTCAAACCAGGATCGTCAAACTCCCATTCAAAACCTCTACCAACTGAGCCACAACGAACCTCCTGTTCGATGGCTTGGTACTCCTTGACACGTTCGATGGAGACGATGTTCGTCTCCATTTCGCTCATCATTCTAACTGCCATATTTAGAACTTCAGTGATCTGGAAGATTTTCAAACTATAGTCTATTTGTCACGACTTGAAATTTTACCGAACGACATTCCGCTTTTTTGCTGCGGGCGGTCGCGAAGCGTCTTTGTCTTTGGCAATCTCGGCCGCGTTTTCAATTGGTTTTCTTTTTTTTGAATAGACTGTTTTAAAATAAAAAAGAAAAAATCGAAAGCGGGACCGTTTCGCGACCGCGCGCAGTCAAAAAACGGAATGCTGTTCGGGGAAATTTCAAGCCTTCGATCAAAAAATATAAAGATCGATCAGAATTCAGAAACCAACCGAGAGAGCATAGGAAACGGAGAGACCGGCCATACCGGCAGACAAACCAAAATATTTGGTGGAAAAAGTTGTGCAAAGTGAGGCCAGGAGCACCTGGAAACGTTAAAAAGTTGAAAAATCGGAGTTGTTCCGATTCAAATAATGGAAAAATCCGTGGTGATCTTTCAAAAAAACGATACTTTTCATGTATAGAGAAAACTCTAAAAAAATCTCGGAAAATATGTTTTTAAAGCTGGAAATTTAATTTATTTTGCTCCAATAAGACGTCAAAGGATCGGTTAAACTCTTTCAAAAACACGTTTTGCTGTAGGAAAAACCAAAAACCGTAAAATAACCAAAAATCCCAATTTTATGAGGGAAAAGTAGAAAAATAGGTTAAAAATTCGATAATTCTGATCAAAAATCAATTATTTTAGGATAATAGATTTTTCACTATTAGATCATATTTTTCTACGTGTACGTTTGAAAAAACTTCAAGTTTAACAGTCAGAAATTTCTTAACAATTCAAATTTTTCTTGCCAAAAACTCCTACAACTTCTCACGTAAAGTGGTTGTCTTGAAATTCAAAAAAATCTGTAAAATGCGGACACTTACCGTCGTATTACCCAATAATTCGAGGCGAGTGGCCAGCCAACGATTGCCCATCACTGTCAGGTAGCGACATTGGGAAGAATTTGTCGACTTTTCTGGCCAATTGATTTTTTGTGCTTTCTACCTGAAAAAAACAGGGTTATTAAGAGCATAAGAGGAATGTTTTGAAAACGTATAAAAATCTCAGGAGAAAGGGCTGTTAAGAGCTTCAAGAGGATATCTATTTTATCTTTTATCTAATCAACGGTGAGTTTCCGCTTGACCAAAGCTGCTTCTGAAACTTCCAATATTTATCAGTTTGTCATTTTCGAAGTTCGAGTTCCGCCGCATTTGGAATGGCTCGGGGAAAAAAATCCTGATTTCTTTTTTCTGTCACCATCTTTTTTTACACACTATGTTCAAATCTTCATGACCTGACGAGGGAAGAGAGAGCCCAGAAAGGTCAGACATTTTAGAATTTGCTTGAGACAATGCCATGCAACAGATCACTTCGAATGAGTTTTATATATATGGGAAGGATGAAACGTATTTTATCGCTGTTCATTTCTTGCATTTCGGAATACAATGTTAGAAATTGGAGCGTTAAACCGCCTTGAGAGCTTTTTTCAGTGGGAAAAAGAAGCTCTTGAACCTTTAAAATACCGTCCAATAGTTTTTTCAGGGTTTCTATCGGAAAAGGTCTCAATTAAAGGCATAGGGGCAGTAAAAAATGGGGTTTCAGGTGAAAGCAGTATCTTATATAGTTTATCTTTGCGAATCGAATGGTGTACTCAAAAAAATTACAGATGTGACAACTTTAGAAGAAAAACGCGATTTTACTTTCCCGCCTTTATTTTTGAAAAAAGCTTTGGATCGGCCTACGGACAAATGTTTACAGTAGCCGTGCACGCGATGTTGCGGACGTCTCATTAGACTCGCATTTTGTGAGAAATAACCGGATATCTACTTCAAATTAAGGGTTTCTTCTCTGAAAAAACGTTTAGTCAAACAAAAAACACACACCGATAATAAAGGAAACACAAAATAACGCTATCGCAATCGAAACCGATGTAAAATCATCATTTTTCACCAGAAAAGCATTTTTGCGATTAAAGTTTGCAAAGTATACATGAATAGAAAGCTTTTGTGACGAAAAGAACTTTGGGGACAACAGAAAAAATTGAAAATTGAAAGAAACGAAGAAAAAAGCGAAAATCCGGAAGATGGGAAAGCCTGTTGTCCATAGAGCAACTTTACTGCAAAGTGCCCTTTTTGCGGGAACTCAAACTTTCCTCTCTCCGACTTTGAATTATTTTTTCTCCAGAAGTAGGAAGTTCGGTACATTTTCAAGTTTACCGTTCGATTCGCAATGAAAAACTCTACAAATTACTGCTTTGAACTGAAACACCGTTTTTTACTGCCCCTATGCCTTTAAGGGCATACATTCCTGGTCATAAAGATATGTCATGTTCGTTTGTTTAACCAATTTTTTTAATTTTTGAAAAACTCGAGAAAAAAATCAATTTTTTTGATCGAAAAAAATTTCGACATGCTTTTTTTGCTTTTTACCTAACCGTTTAGTAGATGATTTTTTCTATTGAAATTTTAAAAATCCTGTTTTTTATATGGTTTTTGAAGACGAAACCTTCTTGAAAGCCCTGATGGAAGAAGCTCCATGGATACTTTCGGCAATAACTGAAAGAATTGGGGAGCGATTCGCACTTTCTAACCGTTTCAGTTGACGGGCGGTCGGTATGAAATAACTCTGAAAAAAACCAGTTGAAAGTTCAAACTCTATTTTTTTTTGGAAAATTTATGAATTCATTCATAAATTCACATTGTTGAGCATCTCAAACAACTTTTTGTCTTCTTTACTTCTCTTTTAAAAAAACGAAACCTTTTTAGAAAGTGAATATTCTGAAAAAAAGTAAACTTTTTAAAAAAAGGATCGTTTCCCAGTTTTTTTCGGCCGGAAATGAGTGTATCCCATGAGAAAAAAACTTTTTTTCAAGAAAAACATTTTCGAAATTCGCTTGAAAAAAATGATAAAAATTCCATAACGAACCATGATAAAAATAGTAGGCAAAAATGAGAGGGATGACAAAAACGAGGAAAAACTGGCGTCGAAATCGAGACCAGCACCATAATTGTGACCACCTGGAAGCTTGAAAATTCATTTCATGTTTCAAAATTAGAAATTTGAAGCAATTCCGTGAAAATTTGACAAGAAAAATGAATAAAAACATAAAACCAACATTGAAAAGGTTTTGAGTAAGCATCCTTAAACTGTCCTGAAGCTTGTCGATGACGTCGAGATCCTGAAAATCGAAATCAAAACGAAATGAATCAAAATGTTGAAGATTGAGAAGGAAAATGAGGGTTTTTTCAACGGTAAAGATCGAAAAAATCATTGATTTTGATTAAAAATGATACCAATCATATTAGAGTAGAAAAAAATGGAAAAAGGCAAAAGACACTATAGGGAATGAGGAGACACCAGGCACTTATATAACTCTTTTTCTTTGTGTCTCTCACCTTCTCACGCTATGCAGCTTTTTTTTCATTACAACAGCTCAAATTAATCCTTAAAAATGGATAAGTAGAGAACATAGAAAATCAGGAGGCACCAGACACACTTTCATATCATCTTTGTCTCTGGGTCTCTATGTCTTCCACGATCTCTAGCTTCCTTCTCGTTACCACAATTCAGTTCAAGCCTTCAGAATGAAACAAAAAGCTTAAAAGCGAGAAAACTAGAGAACATTGAAAATAAGGAGACACCAGACACACTTTCATATCCTCTTCGTCTCTGGGTCTCTCTGTTTTTCACGCTCTCTGACTTCCATTTCTTACAAAAGTTCTATTCAAGCCCTCATAGTCATTATAAAGGTCTAAAGTTCAGGAAAACTAGAGATCAGTGGAAATGAGGAGACGTCCTACACCGTCTATTTTACTCTCTGCCTCGGAATCTCTCTGTTTTCCACGATCTCTCGCTTCCTTCTCGTTACCACAGTTCCATCCAAACCTTCAGAATGAAAGAACAAACCGAGAAAACTAGAGAGCATAGAGAATCAGGAGACACCAAACACTTATACAACTCTTTTTCTCTGTGTCTCTCACTTTCTAAAGCTCTCCACCTTTTTTTTTTCATTACAACAGCTCTTAATCCTTAAAATGGACAGAGAACATGGAAAATCAGGAGACACCAGACACACTTTCACATCCTCTTCGTCTCTGGGTCTCTCTGTTTTTCAAGCTCTCTAACTACCATTTCCTTTAAAAGTTCTATTCAAGCCATCAGAGTCGTTTTTCACTCTTTTTCTCTAGGTCTCTCTTTATTCTGAACGCTATCTAGATTTGTATTTTTTTCATGCACCAGTACATTTTTTTTGTCTTTGATATGCATCTATTCAGAAGCAAAAAATGAAAAGAAAGCGTGGGAAATAAGAAATGAAAGAAGCCAAACCAAATTGAGCTATTGTTTCGAAATGAACATGAAACTTGAAATTATTAAAAAGACTAGTGAAAGGGTGCAGCATACAACGAACCCTCGATAATCGATTGATAATCCTTCCAACGGGAGTGATGTCGAAAAATGTGATCGGAGCTCGTAGCAGGGAGCGGATCAAGGGCGCATGAAGCCCGTAGGAGGCTCGCAGGGTTCCCAAGGTTAACAAGGCGAACGCGCAGGACAGTGTTAGGACTGTAAGGAAGACATGATGGAGATTTTGAAAAGCTGGTTGATTTTGAAAATTTGAAAACGGGGGTGGAAAAATAAGCTTATTTTTCTTTGAAGAAGAAGAAAACAATCAAGAAAAGTGAAATTTTCTTTGGCTTAATTTCCATTGATCTACATTCTCCATAGCCTTTCGCTCTATGAAAAAAATGCTAAAAACGTGAAAAATTAAGCCTTTTTTTCTTGAAAACCTAATAAAAACGGGTAAGAACAAAATTTTTCAGTATTTTTTTATAACTTCCACAACCTTTTGCGTTTTTTTCGAAAAAAAACAATAATATTTTAAAAAAATGAATGCTTTTTTTACTAAAAAAATTGAAAAAAATAAGTGAAGGCAGAATTTTTGTAGTCGTGATGATTCTCTCCCTACAAAAAAAACATATTTGCTTTCCCGGAAAAAATAACCTTTTCACTCAACAAATAAAGCTGATTTTGTCAATGATTTAATCAAGAATTCTCACTTTCACAAACTCCGAATCCGGCATAAACGGCCAATCGGAATTCGGTCGAGATTTTGGTGACGTTGCTGTTGGATTTTGATTCCGCATTCTCATTGGACCAATCCGAAAGCCAGAGAGATCGGAGGGACTGAAAAAGACTTATATGGAATCTATATATACAGAAAACGTGTTAAACCGCTATAAGTATAAGACAAATGCAATTAATCAAATGTTTACGGAGTAAATGCGGGAAAAATTTGGGAAATAACGCGTTCGGAACTTGTGACGATGGAGGCCCCTTTCAAACCATTTTTCACGCTTAGATCTGGACTTTTTATTTTTGAAATTCCCTCAAAAAAATATATCAAGTTTCAGATGTTTTCTCTGCTTCAATAAGATTTTTCCCCTGTTTCCATAAACTTTTTTTCAAAAATGTTTTTTTCTAGATTTTTTTCTCAAAAAAAGGTATATCAAACTCCAGAAAAGTGATCTTGCACGAGCCGTTTCAAGGTCGGTCGCGTTCTTTTCATTTTTACTCAAAAAAATCTTCAAAAATCAAAAAACCCACCATAATCGCAAAATGAGACATGAAGAATAGAAAAAAAGCCGATCGAATTGAACCATCCCATCGTGGCAAAAATAGAGACCGTAGACGCTTTTTATTCACCTGAAATTAAAAAATGAACAAAATTTTTCTTCTTTCGCTTGTTTTTGGCAAGATTTTCAAGCCTAAACTTAAAAACGCAAAGAAATGGCCTTAAAAAATCAAATTTTCAATTTGCCCCTTTTAAATATCAAAAAAACTAAAAAAAAACCATCTTTAGAATAAAATAAATGTTTTTAAAAAAAATTAATGAGAGCATTTTTTTCAACAATTTTCTTTGAAAAATACTAAAAAATCGTCAGTTTTTACGCGAATTTTTTTGCATTGATTCCTACGAAATCTCATATTTTTCAAATCATTTGTTGGTCTTAAAAAAATTCAAATCGCAGCATTTCATTTTCAATTTTGAAAGGCTGCTTTGAACAATATATAAAAAAATAATGATATCAAGCCTTAGAAAAAAATAATAAATGTGATATTATTTGAAAAAAATGACTTTTACGTGTCCAAAAATAAAGGTCTTTATACGTTTCCGAACCATTTAAAATAAAAAAATTGTTGAGTTAAATTTTGTTTAGTACTGTTTGGAAGCTGAAAAACTAAAAAAACAAAAAAACTAGAAAAAAATGAGATGAAATTCGATTTTTTTATTCCAAAAAAAGAAGTGAAAAAAATTTTAAAGCAGCTCAGATAAACTTTTTTTATGTCATTCCCTGTTCTGTGAGAGTATCTTAAAGACGAAACAGTCTCATTTCACAGTCAAGTACTCCCCGCTTAAAAGGCGATATAGGTAGTTTGACAAGGGTGACGCGTTGCGTACGCGACGCGGCTTTTTGACGGGGAGCTCAGGGGTTAAACTTAATCATGGAAAAAAGTAGAAAAATTAATTTTTTTATATATTTTAATTTTTTTATGTATTGAACTAAATGTTTTTCGAAACCACAAAAAAATATGAATTTTTTTGAAAAAAACTGTCAAAAAAAGGAGAAAAATGATGGCTCGCGTTTGACCTTAAGTTCCCCGCAAAAAAACCGCGACGCGTCGCCTTTTCTCATTTACCCATCTCGCCTTTCAAGTTGGAACGGATTTACTGATGTTATGAGGAAATTTCGAGTCTGCAAATCTTGAGAGCCGTAAGCCTGTGTCATACATTGACTGGAACCCACGAAAAAGCAATTTTTTCAAATGGACTAAAATAGGACGCACCCCGGAGTGGGATCCAGCCGACTTATGGCCTCTCGCATGCTGATCAGGTGTATCAACGGGTGTACCCGTATTAAACCCGTGTTTCTGAGGTTATTTTAGTCTCAGTTGGGCTAAAACGGGGGAACAACGGGTGTATGAAAAATATGTAACTCAGCTGTGCTAAAGCGGGGTCTCGGTTGGGCTAAAAATTGCCAAAAGTTCTATCAGCTGGGCTTTTACGGGTTTAATACGGGGGCACCCGCGGAGACCCCGTGTTAGCACGGCGAGGTTACCCTGCTCAGCATGCGAGCTGTGTAAGCAGATCTCAGAGATCATAATCTTGTAAACCTCAACCTTGAAAAAAAAAAGTTTCATTTTCGCCTTGTTCATTGAACCTTTTCATCGTATTATTCTTATGTTTCGAACACCGAAAAAAATTTCTGATCTTTTCACGAAAGCGATTTTTTTTTCTCCAAGGTTATGGACTTTGAGATTTTGCCTTACCAACGATTTACTATATTTACTTTTTCATTTCTCATGGCTCCAAAAACGAACCCTTCCCAGCTGAACCGTCTCCACACCAGTTTTGTTATCCTTAGGTCGGTCGCTATCTTTTATCTTATCAACCGTCAGTTTTCGCTTGACCAAAGCTGCTCCTGAAACTCGAATTTTATCAGCTTGGTCTATGAAAAATGATCGAGATCCATTCACATTTATTTTTTCAAGTGAGGATTCAAAGAGGACATCAGTTTTCGCATAAAACTTGGTGATATTATTTAATTCTTTAAATAGGAAAATTATCTTTTTCCATCATTTTTTAACATAGTTGAACCCTAAAAATGCCGCTTTTCTAACCGGCTAACTTGATACAATGCGATTCTTATTCTGATTTTGGTATTAATAATCAGAATCTATAACCTGACCAACTTTTAGGACATTTTGATCTTTGGAAACGTTTTTTTTGCAATTAAAAAAAGTATTCTGGAATTTTAATTTTTTTTTGGTGTCAAAACAGTCGAATTATTAACAAAAAATCAAGCCTCCTTTTTTCAAAATATAAAAAGTCCGAAAAGTTCGTTTTTCCGATTTCAACTCTTCATTTCATTTCAGGATTTTTGACCAGTTACAGAATTTTTAGAATTAAAATTAGAGATCGCGGTTTGATCCAGCAACAGAAAATACTCGATCCCTCCGCGCGGAACTCGTTTCTTGGTCGGGTGCGCTTTCGAGCCATTTCAAATGCGACCATATGCATCCGACCGCATTTGGAATAGCTCGCGGAAAGATTGAACAAGTACTAACCCATTCGCCTGAAACCGGTTTGATTTCTCTGCACACTGCATTTTTACATGATATTTCATATCTTCATGGCCTCGCTGATGAGGGAAAAGAGAGCCCAGAAAGCTCAGACATTTTAGAATTTGAAAGAAACAATGCCATGCAATTCCGTGTATTTTCTTCACTCGAAGTGGCAGCTCTCTCAATCGGCCGAGGCAACCCTAGAGTGTACACGGGGTCCGTGCCCGAGCCCCACCCTCACCGCCGTGCCCGTACCCGCGAAACTGAGGGATCTACTTGTGGAAAAACGAGGCGAATGAACGTAATACCATGCTTTCAATTCAATGGACTACACGTATTGACTTCTTATATATATGGGAAGGATGAAACGTATTTTATCGCTATTCATTTCTTGCATTTCGGAATAATAATGTTGGAAATTACAGCGAAAAATCACTTTGAGAGCTTTTTTCAGTGGGTTAGAGCTTAAATTCGAAAATTGGTTTTATGCTGGGAAAATCGGTCAGTTTGGTCGCTTTTTTTTGGTGGGTATTTTTTTTTCAAAATTTAGAAAGTTTTGTGATCACTATAGGGATTTAGGGTATGAAATAAGCCCCTAACGCTCAAGTGGTCGCCTATAGAGTCGTTCTAAAGGTCTTTTAACTATTTTCGATTTTAAAAATGAAAAAGACATATTTAATGAAAATTGATTGATAGAACCTCTATTGAAATCGAAACTTTTCATTCAAAAACGCTGGTTTGTTGGAAATGCTTCTTCTCTTAGATATCCTAACATTGAAAGGCAAGCATGCCCCTTTCGGGACCACTAATTCAGACGCCATAGTGACCGCTTTCGCAAGTTTTAGTGACCCCTACAGGATGACGTAAAGTGGTCCCTCGAGGGGAAGCTTCGAGGGTCTCTAAATTGCCCCTATAGGGACCAATCTGGAGATTCTAACAAAGTGTGGAGAGGCTCTAGAATAATGTTGTACGAATTTTTTTCCTGTATGAAACCGCCTTGAGAAAGTAAAGATTTGTAAGCAAACCGAATATTTTTTTGGCTAAAGCTCTGTTTTCATCCCCCCCCACACACACACACACACCTTCGACTTGCCCATCGATCAAATTTTCTTCATCTCCGTCTTTTTTTTCCTTCTCCGATTGTTTCGATTCAAACTCTTCGTAGAGATTTTGGAAAGGTCCTCCCATTGTTTTCAAATCATCGTAGGTTCCCTGTTCCACGATCTGTCCGTCTGAAAAAAATCGGGAAAAATGGTAAAAAAATCAATAAATATTCAAATTTTTTTAACAATTCTAAGAAGAATCGAACGTTGGTTTTAATGAATTTTGTAGACGTTTTTTTTGAAAATAATTTTTCTTCAGAACCTTGCCAAAAAAAAGTTAAAACTTGACATTACCGTTTTTACAAAACTACTTGTATTATGAGATAATGAATCTTGAGTCATAAATTGCAGAATACCTTAAAAAAATCGATAAGTTCAGTCGCTATTTTCAAAGTTGCTATTTTTTTTGAAAAATTTTTGAAGTTTTTAATTTATTAAATTGTTTGAGAGTTCAAATGCGTAGGATTCTCGATTTTGGTGAGGTTTTTAAGTTTCCAAAAAAACCAAATATTAGCGGCTCAAAATAGGAGATTTCGTGTTTTTTTGATGAATTTCAAATCAACCTTTTTTTAAACTTGAACTTAAATCGAAATATGTTAGTGGAAGATAGTTTTTCATTAGGATTTGAGAGCATTTTTTTCCGGCGAAAATAGAAAAAAATTCAGAAAAAAAGTGAATTTTTTTTGATTTGATGAGCAGAATTTTTTTGAAAAACTGACTTCGAAACTGGTTATAATATTTTTCAAATACGTTTATTGAACTGTTAATATTTTAATAAAGCCCAAAAACCTTCCAAATTTTTTAAAAATTGAAAAAATATTCATCATAAAAAAAGCAACCGAACTGAGCGACTTTTTCCAGCATGTCCAAAAAAAAAAAAGAAAAAAGAGTAAGGATTTCAATTTTTTCTTTTTAATATTCAACCATTTAATAATGAAAAACAAGTAGTATCAAATTTTGAATCAAAAAAACCTTCAATAACGTAGATCCGATCAACATTCCTGGTATACTGTAGGTTGTGGGTGACCAAGAGTCGGGTTTTGTGTCTCAATAGGCCGTTTGGGCCGATCACCTGGAAAATCGTCCATTTTTGACCGTATTCTTGTGGATTTTACTTTTAAATCCTTTATTGGGCACATCGGAAAAGCTCCTCGAAGGGTTTTTTGGAAAAGAGAGATTCTAAGGATCAATTTTTTACATCATTCAATAAAAATGAACTGAAAAGATTCCAGAGGATTCAAAAAAGATCCCCTGAAGTTACAGTCAATCCAAGGCTAGCTTGGGACCCCTAGAAGCTGAACACTGTCTGTGCTCTCCCCTAACCAGCCCGTGAAGGTTCTTTTTGGGACCACAATACCTCCCCCTGTAGATGCTACTAAAACTTGCGTAAGTGGCCTCTACAGAGGTTTCAGTTAGTGGCCGCTCTAGGGGAGAATTCTAGTGGTTTATTGTTATGACCTCTATGAGAAAATTCCTCAAAGTTTGCCTTCTAATTTTCAAATTGAACGACTCCTAAGGGACCACTTAAGCTCCAGCAGCTCAGGGGTCAGATCCTAAACCCCTATAGGGACCACTTTTTTTCTTACCTCTGCAGGGGTTCTTTTTTGTTTTCTGTAGAGCCTGTTTTTCCCCTAATCCCTATAGGAACCACTTCAGCGCTCCTAAGAGAGGCGTTCTCTGTCTGTGCCCTCCCCTAACCAGGCACTCTCTCTTATTTTATCGTGCCAGAACCAGTTATCGATGGCTCAAGTCTACCGTGAATCAGCTATATCATTTTTATCTTTTTCCAGTGAAAATAATCTCAATGGGCACTTGATAGAATCCCTAGAGTGGACACTTCAAAGTTCACAACTCTAGCTCAGAAGACTTCTTTTTTCATCTTTCTAGGAGCTATTAACGGAGCTTTTTCAGCTCCTTATATAAGGGACCACTTTTCCGTTTTTTTTAAACTAACATTTTCGAAAATTGCGTGTCCCACATGCGCGTCGACTGCAGAGAGTGTGTCATCCAATAGATAAATTTCTCGGTCCTAAATTTAATAAATAGAAATCAGTTGATACCATACAACGGCTGGATCCCACCTCAGCATTTTGCGCGAGGAAAAAAACTTGAAAATGTACTGAAGTAGGCCGCACCCCGGGGTAGGATCCAGCCGACGTATGGTTTATACGAAACTCGAAACTTCGTAAGAGACTTTGAATATATAAAATGAAAAAATTAAAGAAAATGAAGTATGCATACAACATTCCAGTTATTTCTGCTGTGTTCCCACCTTTCTTTTATATAGTATTCTGGTTTTTACCTGTGAATAATTATAAATATTACTATAAAAAAATAAAATTTCAACCAAACTTTCTGATCGAGATTAGAGGCTAAATAATTCGAAATAAAAAAAGAGTTTTTCACTTGGATCTCATTCCATTTCAGGAATAAGGTTTAAAAAAATTTTTTTATATTGAACTCAACGCTTCAAAAAAACCAAAATTAGTTAATTGATTATTTTTTTTATATCAAGTAAATCGGCTAGAAAAAAACTTGTCAGGTGAACTTTTTGATTTTAGGCTCTTACAGTTTAAAAAAAGTTAAATTATCAGGATGATATTTTGGTAATAACAAAGTGACACTGTAAGAAACAACTGTACAAATTTTTATGAATAATTGGTCAACTCTTAAAAAATTTATACCAAAAAAGCAAAGTTATATTTCCTACCCAGATAACACAGATAATAAAAATAGCCTTACTTCATAAAATCAAAAACAAAACACAAAACAAACCTGATAAACAGCCCTGGCGAGCGAAATCCGAGCTTTCTGGCCTCCAGACAAGGTGATTCCCTGAAAAATTCACTGGGAATTTCAATAAAAAAAAAACCGACTCATTGAAAAAAAGAAATCAGTAACTCGGTAACGCGGACCTTTCTGGAAAACTCTAGGAATCCCTTGAGAGTTTTGAGGTCCCCAAAGTAATTCCTAGGAATGCTCAGAAACGTCCGGGGCGTTTCCGGTTCTCAGTAATAAAAATAAAAAGGCGTTACTATTATCAATGGAGCGAACTTTGTCAAGAAATTGAGTTCAAATCTGGAAGAAACTCCTATAGGGACCAGTTTTGCAAGCTTTAGGGGTCCCTTTTAGGATTGCCAAAGTAGTCCCTGGAGGGGGCCCTTCAGGGGCCTCTCTGGAGCTCCTAAGTCTTTTGAGATATTAACGTTTTCGAAAAAGATCAAAGGACAATTTTGGAAAAGAAAGCAGTTAGAAATTGGGTGTCTTTTAAAAAGGAAAGTCAAGTCACTAATATCATTTCAAATGAATAAGAATGAAAAAGGGTTTGAAAATATTTGTTAACATTTGTTGAATTTCTGAATAAATTGCAAAAGAACACTTTTCGAAAAAAAACCAACATTTTCTCCGACCAATGTATCATCTCCATTATCGAGCCGCGAAAGATCCGATTCCAATTGGCAAGATTTTATCACCTGGAAAAGTGGAGTCTGATTGAAATAATTTTCCGGATTTTTAATCAGTTGAACTCGTTCAGGCTTGTGCAAGGGCCGGTCCATCAGTCTTTCGGTCCCCACCCATTTTTTAAGCCTGGAGGTCTCAAACAAAAATGGCGGGCCCGGTCCGTAAAACTCAAATTTCCTTCAAGTCGAATATCAAGCTTTTTTTTAAAGACAAAAGTCACGTTTTTGCTGGTTCTTTTGCTCAGAGTCAACAGAAACTATGTAAAAATATTCTCGGTGGGAATTTTGTTTCGATGCCTGACCTGGGACGCTAGGACCTCGGTAACGCAAACCGGACGCCCCACGGACCATTTCCAGTGATCCCTAAAAGGGATCAGCATTCTTAAGTGGTCCCCAGGCTTGTGCGAGGGCCGGCCCGTCAACCTCTCGGCCCCCCGGCCACTTCCCAAGCCCGGTCCGGCCCGGCCCTAGGGAGGCCTTAAGCAAAGATGGCCGGCCCGGCCCAAAAAACTCAAATTCTCTTCAAAACCAATTTTTTGCTGTTTTAACGAGAAAAGAAGTATTTTTGCTTATTTTTTCTCATAAAGCTATTAGAAACTATGATTCAACAAGTAAAAATAATTTTTCCGTGAAATTTTTTCAAAATGAAATTTCGAAAGAAGAAGAAGCCCGGCCTGGCCCAAGCCCACGCCGGCTTTCTTTGAAATTGTGAGCCCAAAGCCCGGGCCAAGCCGGTCCGGGCCGGGCCGCCTGGCCCGACGCCAGGCATGTGCGAGGGCCGGTCCGTCACCCTCGCGGCCCCCCGACCATTTCGCAAGCCCGGTCCGGCCTTAGCGGGCCTCAAGAAAAAATGGCCCGCCCGGCCCGAATCGCGCAATTTTTTTCTAGTCGAATATCAAGTTTTTTTTACGACAAAAATTACGTTTTTGCTCATTTTTTCTCTTAAACTTTAACAAAAACTATGATTTTAGAAGTAAAAGTCACATTTCGGTGAAAAATTTTTTAAATGAAATTTTAAATATTTTTTTGAAGCCCGGCCCGGCCCGAGCCCACGCGGGCTTTTTCTTAAAAAAATAAGGCCCAAAGCCCGGGCCAGGCCGGCCCAGGGCCGGGCCGCCCGGCCTGACGCACAACCCTGGTGTTCCCTAGAACGGCTCAGAAAAGACCAGGGCGCGTCTGGTTTGCGTGGTCCGAGAAAAAAGCATAAATGAATTTAAAGATTCATTTTTTTTTCTACATTTCTCATTTTTTCCTATTCAAATAAGGCTCTTTTTCAATCGAAAAACGTGAAAAATCCCTCAAATATTTCCTGTTCATTTTTTTATCATTGGAGCGCATTTACCGTTTGAAATTTGACACCAATTGAATTAATTTCACGGAATTTTATGCCGTGTTCAAAGTGATTCCGCGAAATTCAAAATAGCTGTCAGAGAAAGAGAAAGATAACTTAATTTTGGAGGGTCAGAGACCATTTTGCATTTCGCGAAAATTACTTTGAACACGGCATTAGCCAAAAATTTCAATTCATTTGTTATTGGAGCAAATTTTCTCGATTTTACATACTCAGTGGACTTTTTTTAAACTATAAGCCTTGAAAAATTCTCAAATATTTCCTTTTCTTTTCTCATTAGAGCGCATTTTCTTCCTAGGCGTACTTCAAAAAATCACAAATTCCAAAGAGGGCCCCGAAAACGGTTATCAATGATATCCTATCCTTATGAACAAAAAACCTTCAAATTTAAGCTTTTTTTCATCATTAAACTTGCCCACAAAAACCGCTCACATCCTGATAAAAAGTCGGATCTTCGGGGCTTCCGAAAAGGATATTTTCCTTGACGCTTTTGTTGAAAATCCAAGATTGTTGTGGGACATAGGCGATTGTGCCGCCGATTTTTATCCGTCCACTCAGAAGGTTCATTTCGTCTGGAAATTAGGGAGATTAGAAGGAAAGTTGAGAGAAAAACCAAAAAAGGTTCGAAATTTCACGCAAAAATCGAATTCTGGAAACATCCAAAAACTGGGGAATCCAAAAAGTTTTTCTTTCCCTTCTCAGATTTTTTAGAAGTCTACTGTAACAAAAGATCAAAAAATACAAAAAACTTCACTTTTGACTTGAATTTTCTCTCGAAATTTGTTAGCAAAATTCTGAAAATTGTAAAACCTGAAAAATCTAGATGAGCGGGAAAAACACTGAACCTTTCATTATCCCAATTCATATACTTATTTGAAGATTTTAACCTTTAATCCTCATAAAAAAATCTGAAGCCTCTAAAAATTCAAAAGACTGGAGAAAAACACTTCCGAAAAGCGGAAAGGAAGCTTCAACTTTCATCAATAAATTATATATACTTATTCGAAAATTTCAACCGTTCATTAACCTAGAAACTTTCTGATGACTCTGAAAACCGGTAAAACCCCAAAAAATCGAAGAGAACTACCTAGAAGAGCGGAAAGGAAGCTGGATTTCCCGCCGCCAACACTTCCAACAATCGCCACCAGTTGGTTTGTACGGACCGTCGCTGTGATCTCAAATCAATTTATCAGAAAAGAAAAGAAATATCTTCAAAATATCTAGTTTTAAACTTTTTTTTTGAAATAGTTCTGAAAATCATTAGAGCATTCATTAAATGGAATTATCGTAGAAAAAGACATTCCAGTTCTTGATTCAAGATTCGGAAACCTTAAACCTGTCCAAAAGGAAATTTCCTAGAGATATTTCTGGGGGGTCCCTTGACAGATCAATTTTCAAGAGGTCACTTGAGAGGTTTTCCAAGATTGATCCTAATTCAATTTTCCTATTGAAAGTTCTGATAAAAAGTCAGAGCGGACTCCATAGTGGTCCCTATAGGGATTACCTTAGGGCTCCTTTAGAGTTCCCTGCTGTGGACCACAGTACTTCCCCCTTTAGAGGTCACTAAAACTTGCGTAAGTGGCCCCTACAGGGGTTTCAGTTAATGGCCGCTCTAGTCGTTTATTATTATGACCTCTATGAGAAAATTCCTCAAAGTTTGCCTTTTAATTTTCAAATTGAACGACTCCTAAGGGACCACTTAAGCTTAATCAGCGTAGGGGTCAGACCCTAAACCCCTATAGGGACCACTTTTTTTTTTACCTCTGCAGGGGGTTCTTTTTTATTTTCTGTAGAGCCGTTTTTCCCTGATCCCTGAAGGGACCACTCTGGAGTTGCTAAGAGAGGCGTTCTCTGTCTGTGCTCTCCACCAACCAGACACTATCTCATATTTTATCGTGCCAGGACCTTTTTTTCGATGGCTCGAGCCAGCCCGTCATTTTCCAATATGAAGATACTTTAATGGGCACTTGATGAAATCCCTAGAGTCGCCACTTCGAAGCTCACATTTTTCAAGACGGGCGGCGCATCCGGCCCCTTCCAGTTCAAATTCGCCTCCCTGACTACTACAGCGTTGCCAATCGACGTCTCCACTTTTCTCACCAACTCGTCTTCGTTCATGAATTCCTGAACGAAAAAATCAATAATAAGTTTAAAAATCTGAAAGTTGAACTTTTTAGAAAAAAATGCTGAAAAACTAAAAAAATAGGATTTTAACGGGCGAAAAATTAAAGTTTAACAATATAAAGATAAATCTAAGCATTTCCTGTCGCAAAAAACGAGAAAATCAATGATTTCGACCTAAAATAAAACCTTATTTTTGTGAAAACCCCTCGGACATTGCTAACGCGAAATAGACGTGCTGCGGACGTTTCTGCGAATTTCTAGTGATCACTTTAGTAGCGTCATCACCCCTAAGTGATCCCTAGAACTTCTCAAAATGTCCGGTCTTCGAGGTCCTTCCAATTACATTCCAAAAATGTTAAGATATTCTCATTAGAGCGCACTTCATCTCCCTGGTAGAACCAACTTGAGTTTGCTGTTTTTCAATTTTTTTTTATCATAGTAAAAAAAGCTTTATTTTTAATTCGGCGAACGAAGCGTTCAAAAATTTTATCAAAAAAATCTTTTTACTGGTAATATCTGTTGGTTTGGAGAGATAATGGCTATTTTTTCGAGATTTTCAAAACTTCTACGGCTTTAGAGTCCATACTCGTTCGCATTGTGAGCAATACGATTTCTAAAAAAAAATGCATTTTTTGAATTTTCTTTTTATCCGCTAAAATGTACCCTCAAGTCTCATTTATCACTATGCACTACAAGTATTTAAATTTAAGTTTAAAAAAAATCAAAAAATCCTAGTTTTTGGACCGCCAATATTCGAAGTTTACTATGAATTATACGCATTGGATATTGTAAAAAAAAAAACTTCAAAAAATCTCAAAAAAAGACATCAAAAAGGTAATCAGTGGACCGACTTTCCCAGTCCTCATTCCTTGATGAATCGAAAAAACCTTCAGTCTTTTATTGGAGACCATGGCCTGAACCAAGGTGTTGATGACGTTGGCCACCATTCTCATCGGCTGTCTCAACTGGTTGAAGATCGTCAAGGCGACGAAGGCCACCGACGGCGTCAGGGCGTTCGGCTCATTCAACAGAACGAAAGTAGAGAAAGACGCGATCGCTACCTGGAAAAATGGTGATTCTCGCAGTTATGACGTCATGAAATAGGTCTTATGACGTCATATGAATGGACATTCTAGGTTTGGTTCAGACATGTTAAAAATCGACCGAGGAGATTTCTTGATTTTCGAAGAACTGAAATTTTAAATAAGTGCTTTTTTTAATGATCATATTTTTTTCCGAAAAAAATTTTCGAAAAAAATGTCTGAGAAAAAAACTTGTCCCAATGATTCGGAAAAAAAGATTTCAGGGTTACAAAGTCAAGAAGAAAAAAATACGGACCGAAAAAAAGAAGCGCACCTCACCAAAAAAACGTGTAATACTAACATTTACTAATCTATTTCTGCGTGTATATCTGAACTCTTTTAATTATGATTGTGATAATTTATTTTTTTCAGTGTATTTCTGAAAAAAATGGAAAAATTGAAATATATTCAGTTTTGTAGAGGGATGTCAGTTACATATGTTTAGTCAAAGAGATATTTTTTAAGTTCCGGATTGAACTTCTTAAAGGCATAGGGGCAGTAAAAAACGGTGTTTCAGTTCAAAGCAGTACTTTGTAGAGCTTTTCATTGCGAATCGAACGGTGAACTTGGAAACGTACAGAAGTTCTTAGCTTTGGAGAAAGAATTATTCAAAGTCGAAGAAAGGAAAGCTTGAGTTCCCGCAAAAAGGGCACTTTGCAGTAAAGTTGCTCTATGGACAACAGGCTTTCCCATCTTCCGGATTTTCGCTTTTTTCTTCGTTTCTTTCAATTTTCAATTTTTTCTGTTGTCCCCAAAGTTCTTTTCGTCACAAAAGCTTTCTATTCATGTATACTTTGCAAACTTTAATCGCAAAAACGCTTCTTTGGTGAAAAATGATGATTTTACGCAGGTTTCGATTGGGATAGCGATTATTTGCGTTTCCTTTATTATCGGTGTGTTTTTTCTGTTTTCTTAATCGATTTTTCAGAGGCGAAACCCTTAATTTGAAGCAGATAACCGGTTATTTCTCCCAAAATGCGAGTCTAATGAGACGTCCGCAACATCGCGTGTACGGCTACTGTAAACAGTTGTCCGTAGACCGATCCAAAGCTTTTTTCAAAATCAAAGGCGGGAAAGTAAAATCGCGTTTTTCTTCAAAAGTAGTAACATCTGTAATTTTTTTGAGTACACCGTTCGATTCGCAAAGAAAAACTATATAAGATACTGCTTTCACCGGAAACCTCATTTTTCACTGCCCCTTTGCCTTTAAAACACTTGAAAACCGTTTTTGCAACGAAAAAATCGTCAATTTGATTGTGTGAAGAGGCTGGGCTTTGCGCTCCCTAACTTTCACTTTCAGTTTCTTTCTTAATTTCTGTCTTTTTCAGGATGTTCTGCAAGGTTCTCCTCTCTCTCTCTTTTTCGAAGATCGGGGTTTAAGCTAGAGACCGCAAGCCATTTCTTCAGAACGATTCAAAAAATGTTTTTCACATTTATCGATAGCGGAGACTGTCCATTTTCATAATCCGTTTAGTTTTTGAAAAAAGCTTCACTAAGAAAAAAGTTATGGCCAAAAAACGAGCGCGAGCGGCGTACGACTGGAGGCAAAATCTCACGAAAGGGATTTTTCAGCTTATTGTTCTTTTTTCTACTCAGAAAAATTATTATCATTCGATTTGGAAAAAAGAAAAAATGAAAAATAATGTTATTTCGAAATAAAACAGGAAAAGGTGCAATTTGACGCCGAAAAACGGCTCCTGCAACATTTAAAAGGGCGCATCGGTGTGTTTGACGCAAACACAGCTACGAATGCTTGCACGAATTATTCCAAAATTTCAAAAAAAATTGCTATTTTTTCGAGGTTTTCAAAGCCGTTATTTTTTTCGCGTCGATCGATTTTTTTCATAATTTTTTCATTGATAGAGTTTTGAACGCTTAATAACCTGATCAAAAATGTAGACGCGATCCTATTCTCTCATGCGTCAACGAGGCAGGCGAAAAAAAGGAGGTTTTGGTAAAAACTCAAATATAATTTGATTCGCTGTCCCAATAATTGTTTTTCATTTTGAATTTTTTTATTTTTTTGAAAAAAATTGTGAGTTTTTTTGAATCAAATAAAAAAAGTATATCCTGTCGCTGAAATTTTTTTCGCATGTCAGCTTCAAAGTTTGGTGTCACTTTACAAGCTTTGATATTTTTTTCGCGTCGGTAGATTTTTTTAATTTTTTTACTCAAAAAATAAAGAAAGTGTTAATGTATAACATACTTAAAAATTTAGAAGCGTTCCTCACTTGGTTTTTCTGAAACGCGACGATTTTGTGAAACTTGTCAGTTTTTTTCGAGTTAAATCTTACCTTTTCGCTTATTTATGAAAAATACATGGTTTCAAAAATATTCAGTCTTGTAGAGCGTTGTCGATTACATAGGTTAACAAAAACAGTTTATTTTTTTAAAGTGGAACTTTAGCTAGTATAAACGCCTTAAAACCGTTTTTGCAACAAAAAAAAATCGTCATTTTGGTGGCGTGAAGGGGTGGGGCTTTGCGCTCCCTAGTTCAAGCTGATAAGGTGCAAAAACGGGGCTTTAAAGCGTGTGAAAGGTGTCCAGATAAGTTAACACACAACTCGGCTGATAATCGTTCGCTGTCTTTTTTAAAAACTATATAGGTCTTTCACTCTCGCGTCTTCATAATAGATCACTTTTCTTTGGTTGAAAGAGTAGAATAATAATAATAATTTGAGCCCATTCTCGCCAGACCTTCGCACAACCATGTCTGATAAACCTGCCCGTCGAATCATGGATGGAAAAGTTGGTGATAAATACATCATCCCAAAAGGCTACGAGGGCAAATTCGAAAACGCTGTCGGCGTCCCCCTGGGTACGCCACGTGGCAAAGCTATGCCAATTCCACCTGGTTCCGGTGATCCCAATCTTACCGTGACTCAACGTCCAGATTTTCGCAAGGTAAACAAGAAGGAACCTGTCCACAAGTAACATACCCAGTGGGCACCATTAAAATCACAATTTTTGAACAAGGACACATTTTAGGGTTTTTTCCTTGAATTTTCGGTTTGAATAACAATTATTGAAAGAGGTTTTTACCTAAAATTTGTCTTGAAGAAACAATATTATGCTATTATTTGTCAACGCCTTTAAATTGCAATAAACATTTAAGCATTGTTTTGTGTTTGTAAATGACTGGAAACGGTATGAAAATGCTTGAAGTGGAAGAATGGGTCAAAAACCATTTTTGCACACTTAGACCAAAAAATTTTTTTTTCAAAAATGATGGATTCTCGATGAGTTAAGCATTGTGTTGTGTTTGTAAATGGCAGAAGATGGCATGAAAATGCTTAAAATGCTAAATGGGAAAAATGTATGTATTGACGAAATGGGACTTATGACGTCATTCTGAGCAAAAATTTTAGAGAAGTCTGCTCAGAAGATCGGGAAACTACTGTTTTTTTTTAAAAACCGGTTTTGAGAAAAAATATCACGTTCATTTAAAAAAATTCCCTTGTTAGACTAAAATTTGACGTCATCATGAAGACCGCTGACTATATCAGAAGCTAAAAAAGAACTTATTGTTTAGAAAAAAAAAACAGCAAAAGTTCAAAAAAAAAAGTTTATAGCAGTTCCCAATGACGTCATATGAATCAAAAAAACTTTACACGTTCTTGAAAATTTGCGTTTTTCTAATTGTCAATTTAAGAATCCTCATGCTTATAAAAAAACAATTTTTCGAACCCTAATAAGACTTTTGAAGACATTATAGATCCATCAGAAAACCGACCAGAAAAGGGCTGGCGGCGTTGGCGACGTCAACGATTCGGCTCAGAACACAGACATTCCTCAGAAGTCGGACTTCTTCGGCTCGAAGTTCGTTGATTTTCTTCTCGAACGACTCTTCCCAGGCGTAGAGCTTCACCACTTTGATTCCGTTCAGAAGCTTGAAAATCGTGAATCAATTGGCTTCGAAATGAATGGGAAAGCCGTAAAGGTGGTGCACTTGCGCTCCATCGCTGATCAGATAAACTCAAATAAACTCGGACGTGTTTCTTGTCGATTCTAGGGATCACTTAAAAGTGCTGAGGCTACTAAAGTGGTCACTAGAAATGCCCCGACACGTCCGATTCGCGTTACCAAGGTCCGCGAATGAAAAAAATAATCACGCTTCATTTCTTGACAAATTTGTTACTTTTTTACCCAAATAAAATATGTTTCATCATTCCGATTAGAGTTCTCAAAAGTAAATGTTTGAACGAACGTTCAACCAAACATTTTCTGAACGTTTGATGAATTCGACCAATTAGTTAAATTTCACATGAACCGTTTGTTAAAAACTTCATTTTGGTTAAATTTCATAACTGAGCATTTAAAAAAATGAACAATTACTTATTTTTTTCGAAAAAAATTTTTGGTTAAAAAAATGAACATTTAAAAATTCATTTTGAAATTTTTTTGGTCAAAAAAAGTAAACATTTAAAAATTCATTTCGAAATTTCGGTCAAAAAAATTAACATTTAAAAATTCATTTTAAAAAAATTTTTTTTCAAAAAAAGGTAAACATTTATTCATTACTATTACGGTACTTGGCAGTATCTGTGTCGGAGTCAATTCTATCTCAGTCTTCTCCAAATGAAATCTTGAATCGATTACTTCGAAATTCAAACTAATTTCTGGTTAAAAAAATTGATAAATCTGTTGGAAAAACAGTGATCTGGATGGTCAAGGGCAAAGCTAAAAAGCCGGTTAAGGCCGAGAAAAAAATTATATGGAACCGGTCAAAAAAATGAGCAGACCGGAAGAAAGGTTCTATCTGGAGAATTAATTGAATGAGGAAAAAAAGGAAAAAGTATTGATTTGGATTTTTGGTTCGGAAAAATCCAGGTTCGGAAAAAATTATCGGCCAAAAAAATAAACATTTAATTTTCACAGTTGAAAAAAATTTTTTTGTACGAAAAAAAGTAAACATTTAAAGTTCGTTTCGAAAAGTTTTTGGTCAAAAAAAGTGACCATTTAAAGTTCATTTCGAAAAATTTTTCGTCAAAAAAAGTGACCATTTAAAGTTCATTTCGAAAATTTTGGTCAAAAAAATGAACATTTAAAGTTCACTTTGAAAATTTTGGTCAAAAAAAGTAAACATTTATTTTTTTCACTTTGAAAAATTTTTGGTCATTAGGACGAACATTTATTTACTAGTCAGAATATGATTGTTTAGAAAATGACCATTTATTTTTTTCAGTCATTATTTGAAAAAGACACAAAATGAAAAGAATGAAAGTGATCAATTTTTGGTTGATCTTTCAAAAAAACGACATTCGTTTGAAATGTCAAAAAGAAAAATTTTTTTCGTTTTTTTGAAAAAAATATCATTTTTTTCAATTGGTCATTTTGAGAACTCTAATTCCGATATATATAAAACTCATTTCAAGTGATCTGTTGCATTGCGTTATCTCTACCAAATTCTAAAATGTCTGACCTTTCTGGGCTCTCTCTTCCCTCATCAGGTGATGAAAATATGAAATAATATGTAAAAAATGGAGTGTGCAGAGAAATCAGATTGATTCTAGCTGTGGCAAATGGGCTACATTTCTGCATGTTCCATCTTTTTGAAAGCCACTGCGGTCGCATTTGGATTGGCTTGAAACCGCATCCGACCTCCAACGAGTTCCGCGCAAAAGTATTGAATATTTGTGACCAATTTGCTGGATGAACCGCAACACTTCGAGCCATTCCAAGTGCGACCAGCTCAGTTGCAGTTCCAGTATTAAAAGAAATGAGAAAAAATTTTTGAACTCGAAACTTCGAGCCATTCTCAGTGCGGCCAGGGATTTTCGAGTAGTTTTCAGACTTTTTTTTTGAATAATGAAAAAGCTGATAGAAATGTCGTATAAAATCGTTTCATCTTGCTAAGAAAAAGTCTGGTGGCTACTTAAGAGGTCCCTCAAGGATTATTTGGAGAGGACGCTAAAGCGGTCTCTGAAACCACCTCTATAGTGGCCACTATAGCCGCTATTTTGCGCCTGAGTGGCCACTATAGTAGTTCTTCGTGGTTCAGTTGTGGCATTTATACTCCTAAAGAGGCCACCAAACATTAATCACTTGAGAGGCCACTAAAACTTCAAGACCCTGAAGTGGCCACTGACACCACCTTTAAAGAAGCCGCTATTTTGCGTCTTATTGGCCACTACAGTAGTTTTTCCTGTTCTGCTAGTACTACTCAGACTTCCAAAGAGGCTACTGAATTTAAACACTCTAGTGGTCACTAATTCGACTACCGTAGTGACCACTAAAAGGCCAAAACCCTAAAGCAATCGCTTAAAATTTTTCCAGTGTTTCACGGTTTTTTCTTAACAAATTATTACTGGAAAAAGTTGAAGTAAGCCTTTAAGAAAGTCTGAAATTCAGTGGCTCCTCTAGGGACTGTATCAGGACCTTTTAAGTGAGAAAATCAGAGGATGAATCCTATAGGAGGCCCTTCAAAACCCATTTTTTGTTTGGAAAGGTGATCCTTTAGTATACCTCCTTAAGGAGATTTTTTTCCCCTATAGGGCCCACTTTTCGCAGTAGTTTGAACTTTTGTCTGAGCTGAAATTAAATTTAGGTTTTTTAAAAATTTTTTGATGAAGCAAAAAAATAATGAGAGGAAAAAATGATGATTTAAAGATTTAAGGACCTAATTTAACTACTATTCATTCACAAAAGTTTCAAATTAATTCTCAAGAATCGAAAAAAATTTGAAGAACTCATTGAAAATAAACCCGCAGATAACGTTCATACAGGGATCTCAACCAAATTATAACTTTTTTTAAAAGTAAATTAGCCGATTTTGGAATACTTTCCATTCGCTCATCATTTCTATTTATAGAAAATTTGGAACGTATGAGTGACGGGTGGAAATGGATAATTTCTTCAAAATTAAACAGTTTTAGGCTGATTCACAACTTTAAACGCGAATAAAAAATCAACAAAATCGTTTCTTTAGACCGTAGACAGGCCCATAACCTGTTGCGCTACGGCGCGCCCCACTACCATAGTGTACACTAAAACATCAAAACCCTAAAGCAATCACTTGAAATTTTCAAAGTGTTTCATGGTTTTTTCCTAACAAATTATTACTGGGAAAAACTGAAGTGGGTCTTCAAGGGAGTCTAAGGTTTAGTGATCCCTATAGGGACTGTATCAAGATCTCTAGAAGTGAGAATCTTAGAGGATGAACCCTATAGCAGGCCCTTGAAGTAAATCCTAGATAGTAGTTTTTAGTGGTCTAGTAGTACCCCATAAACTCCTAAAAGGGTCACTAAATTCCAGTCACTTAAGTGACCACTAATTTTTCTACTATAGTGTCCACCAAAACGTCAAAACCCTAAAGTTACCACTCAAACTTAAAAATGAAAAAGTTGAACCTCATTAGAAAGTTTGGTCCGTTCATCCTTGGCCTTCATCTGCGCCATCTGGGACCTCTTGACGAATTTCGAGGTGAAGATGTTCAACGGGATGAAAAGGGCCATGACGGCGACCCCGGCCAGGGCGGGCGGACCCAGGGTCAGCCAGAGCATCGTCATCGCCAGGGTCACCTACATGAACTCACTGTTTCCAAAATTGCTTGAATAAATGTATTTTTCTTATTTTTCAATAGATCATAGCGGGTCATAATATAACTATAATCTATCTTCGAAACGCCAGAGTGGCCCCTAAAGTGGCAACTTTAGAGGCTCTTGTAGGCCCCCTTCAAGGGGCTACCGTAAACATTCTCAGGAACGCCAGAGTGGTCCCTTAAGTGGCGACCTTAGGCTTCCCTAAAGGGATCACCTTAACCTATTATTTCACACAATAATTCGAAAGTCATGAATGAAAATCATTGATTCCTAAAATATTATTTTTTTCAATCATATCTCAAATTTTTAATAACCCTTCAAAAAATCCACACAAACAACGATTTTTTCTTTCTCATTTGAAGTCAATTTTCGATTTTTAAGCGTTTTTTGAAACTTCCCAGCAAGTTACAACATTAGAAACTACGAAAAAAACTTCATTTTATCTCAAAAAAATCGTTATATTTTTTTACCTGAAACGGGACGGACCAGGTGTTCTGCAGGTAGGGAATCGAATGGATCACGATTTCTATATCAACCGCGGCATGATTCAAAAATCTCGCCAGCGGTTCGATGGGCTCTAGCGGATGGAGAAATCTCCAAAAACCTTGAAAAAAATGCTCTTTTTCTTGAATTTTGACAGTTATTTTTTTGGAATCGGAGTGATTGGATAAAAATTTTTTTGAAAATCTTTAAACAACGGTCGAAAGCGTCCTAACGGGCGAATGTTCAAAAAAAGCTGAGAACCAATTTTTTTCGAGGAAGAAATTCAACGAAAGCTGCGGAAAAACTTTGATTTTCTGAAATTTGGAGAAATTATTTTTGAAAAAAACAGTTTCATTAAAAAAATGAAAAAGTTCATATCTTCTCTATCTGAAAGAGAAAAAAACTAATGAAACCAAAAAAATCAGTTCTTTATAGTTTTTTTAGGCTTTTTTTGGAAACGGAATGAGAAATAAAAAAATTGAAAAATCAATTTTCACTAAAAATCCTCACTTGGATAACGAAAAAAAAATTATTCGAAAATTTCTGATAAATCGAGCCAGTCGGAATAGCTTTTATAGTGACTATATATATATATATATATAGAAAAGAGAAATGGAATATTTATAGAAAAATATAAAAAAATTATAGAAAAATAAGTAGAAAAAAAGAGAAGACACGGGAAAAGCTCAGAAGGTCTCAAAAAGGATTTTTGGAGAAAAAAGACTTTTGAATTGTCTCAAAGGCGCCTTTTTTCAGACCTTTTTCTAAAAGGACCTTCAAAGGAGGTGTGAAAAGGCGGAAAAAAGGTGAAAAAAGCAAATTCCGAGAACCTTTGACGCCTTGCTAGGTACTCAAAAAGGGGCTTTAGGCTCTTTGTTTCAAGGTCTTTTTGAGGTCTTCTGGACTTTGTCTGTGGAAAAGAAATAAAATTGACCTTCTTCAAAATAGCGTTCTGTAGAGTGCTCTGGTAATAAACGGCCAACTTGAACATACCGGAAACCTGAAATTACTGTTTTAGAAGTTGGTTATTGAAATAATTCGGTAAATTTCCGTGCTAAAAACTATTGCGCTTCTTGAAATAGAAAAAAATAATTTTTGGGTTTTACTGAGCCTTTAAAATTGAAGATAAAACTCGAGTCGAGCCATTCCACGTCCGGTCACGGGAATATTTCGAAGTTGGCTATTATTCTCTCCAAAATTCGGAATTCGTTGCACAGAAAAAAATTTTGAGAGATAAAAAAGTTGACTAATTTTCGAAAAAAAAATGTTTTTTCTAACTTAAAAATTTTTCTAAAATCTAAAATTTCACAAAAAGAAAGGGAACCTGGAAATTCTGGAGCATCGACCGGATCTCGGCCGACAGGAACATAATTAAAGCGATGCAAATTCCGAAAGACAAGGGCTGATCTTTCAGGGAGACGTAGTCGATCAATTGCCTTCAAATATAATGTAATGATGAGAAAATTAACTTTTTTCCGTATATTTTTGATGTAAATCCCAACTTCCTTTGCAAAATTTAAAAAGTAGACCCTCGGTACGTTTCTGAGCAGTTCTAGTGACCACTTTAGTATTTTTAACTGGTCCCTAGACTTGTTCAGAAACGTCCGGGTGGCGTGGCGACTCAACGGTGAGGACCGATCAAAGAGAAACTGTGAAGAAATAATTTGATATAACTATTTTTAATACCTAAGAGGGAAGGATTTAGATTTTCCTTCGAGCTACGGAACCATTCCGGGAAACTTCCCTTCGATGTGCCTTTAAATTAGTCTTATATTAAAGGCGCATGCCCACAGGCACGCCACCCACATCGAAGAGAAGGGTTCATTTTCTCAAATAAAAACAAAAATCGTGACAAGCTCTTGTGGAATGGACTATAAACATCTCGAGGGGAGTCAGGCTCGAACTTTCCTTTCTGAGTGAAAACAACTCTTGCCAATGTTTTTTTAGTAACAGTTATGTATCCTTGCACATTTTTTTGATCTGTTTCAAGCATTTTTGTTTCTGAATTTACAAAAAAAAGTAAGTGAATTTACAAAAAAAAGTAAAAAAAAGTAAAAAAAGTACCCCACCCCGTTTGGAAACGCCGCGCTTTGTAGCTGATTTACGGCTGGCCTGAGCCCTTGAAAAAGGTCCTGACATGACTTTAAAAAATACAGTTTTTGGTTGATGGAGAGCGCAGATAGACTACGCTCAAGTTAATGATATTTGATTAAATCCCCAGTTTCCCACATTCGCTTCGACAAACTTCAAAAGAAGCGGATTCAAGTAGTGGACGACGTCGGCCACCATTCGACTCAAAGTGATAGTTATAATCAGCTTTTTCTGACTCCTCACGAATGGCCAAACCAATGAAGTCGGCTCTGTTGATTTTTGCTCTGCAACTCCACAAAATCACTTAAATAAGAATTCTCCAACGAACTAGTTTTCTGGTGTTGAAACTCCCGATCAAAGATTTCGATCAACGAATGAGAGGTGCACTTTTCGGCCAGTGGGTACAAATCCTCGTTGATAAGTGGTCTCGAAGCACCAGTCCGCACTACTTCGTTCATCCAGCAGAAGAACAGTCTCGAGAAGAACGACGATTTCTCCTCCGGACTGACATTCTGAAACAAACTCACATCATAATCATAATAAGTTCCTCAAAAAACGAAATCAAACTTGATAAAAAAACTGCTGAAACTTCTATCAAAAAAAGACTCATTGAAAAAAACTTCTGAAAATGAAAAAAATAGCTTATAAAAATATTTAAAAACTAAAAAACTTTTACATGAAAGCGATACACAAAAATAATTTTCGGAATGAATTTTTAGCCGCGAGAGGTAGGAGTCGCAAGTTTAATGTTTCGAACCCACTCTTTCAAGTCTTAATGACAAGATTGCCTGACGAAATGGGTATTTGTGTTTCCGAAACAAGAAAAAGCGTGAATCCAAGATATTGATTTCAATATTGAGAAAACGCGAATAAAAAAACAAAACAAAAACCAAACTTTCGTAAAATAAAATGCTGGTAGTGCATACACGCGACGCAAAGAACCATGTGACTTAGAATTTTTTTCGTTTCATTTTTCATATGCCGTGTTCAAAGTAATTTCCGCGAAATGCAAACACGGTGTTTCTTTTGCGACGCCCCGCCCACTTCTCTCCGTCAATTAGGACGTGTTTAGTGCATGCACAAAAAATTTGGAAAATAAGGTTAACCGATGATATAAGTGTGAGAAACGAATGAACATTGAAGAAAAAAAGACGAGGAAAAATAAAAGAGATTAAATAAAAACTATATTGCTGTGGAGAAACAAATAAAAAGATGTTTTACAGAAAGTACTTTTTTTATTATAAAAAAGTTGACGGAATATCCGGATATAAATGAATTCCGGAACATACTTTCTCAACTTCACAGACATTTTTTTCATGTAACTTCATCTCATTGATGTCCACAACCTAGGAATCTGAACAATCGACAAAAAAATAGAATAAGAAAACATAAAATGGGGTGAAACATGTTCCATACAAACAGGTGGAGATTTTCAAAACGCTTCTTCATCACGAGTTTTTAAAGTTAGCCTCACAGAACTACTTTCAAAAAAACGTCTAACAACCCAGAGTATACCCCGATCGTGGTCCCGCAATACTATCAGCAATCTACGAAAAGAAAAAAAGTGAAAAAAATATGAAAAAAATTGACAAAAAAATCAAAAAAATAAAAGCCACTTTTTTTCAAATTTCGCGGGCGAATTTCGAGAAGTGCGCAGACTTTGCCGAGTTTCAAATTCCTTGCATTTTCTTCAACTGGCAGAAACGCCGTGCAAAATGATCTCTGACTCTCCAAAATTTAGTGATCTTTTCCTTTCTCTAACGGGTATTTTGCATTTCGCGGAAATTACTTTGAACACGGCAGTAGTTTTATTGTTTTTTTTTTATGCTAGCTTTTTCAGATAACTCGATGTCAAAGGAAATGTATCAGTTTCATTGCGGGAAAATGGCGAAGTTTGAGGTTTGTGTATGTTTTCGATAAAATTTTCTGAAAACACAAGTTTTCAGAAAAAATTTTCTTTTTTTTTTGTGCTGCTGCATTATAGAGTTGTGAGTGAATTGCATTAAAATATAAATTACCTGTTTTTGTCGAGGCTTGGCCTCGGCCAAAAGCGCGACTTCGGCCATTAAAAGGGCGCCTTCTGCGCTTGCCGCAGCGTCGAAATCTCCTTCGATTGCCTTGAAATTGTTGAACTTGTTGATTATTTTTGAGAAATCAGTGTACCAAGATATTCGAACTGTAAAGAAACGATTTTTGTTGAACTTTTTTCGCGTTTAAAATTGTGAATAAGCTAAAAAGTGGTACATTTTGAAGAAATTATCCATTTCCACCCGTCGCTAGTACGTTCCAAAGTCTCTATGAATAGAAATGATAAGCGAAAAAAGTAATCCGAAATCGGCCATCTTATTTTAAAAAAAAGTTATAATTTGGTTGAGATCCCTGTATGAACGTTATCTCCGGGTTGATATTCAATGAGTTTTTCAAATTTTTTTCGATTCTTGAGAATTAATTTGAAAAATATTGTGAATCAATAATAGTGAAATTGGGTCCTTGAATATTTAAATCATCTTTTTTTCCTTTCATGATTTATTTTGCTTCATCAAAAAGTTTTAAAAAAACTTAACTTGAATTTCAGCTCAGACAAAAATTCAAACTACTGCGAAAAGTGGGCCCTATAGGGGAAAAAAGTCCTCTTAAGGAGGTATACTAAAGGAGCACCTTTCCAAACGAAAAAAGGGTTTTCAAGGGCCTCATATAGGGTTCATCCTATAAGTTTCTCTCTTTAGGAGGTCCTAATACAGTCCCTAGAGGAGCCACTAAATTTCAGATTCCCTTGAAGATCCACTTCAGTTTTTCCCAGTAGTACATTGTTGAGAAAAAACCGTGAAAGACTGGGAAAATTTCAAGTGATTGCTTTAGGGTTTTTGACGTTGCAGTGGCCACTATAGTAGAAAAATTAGAGGTCTCTTAAGTGACTGGAATTTAGTGGCCTCTTTAGAAGTTTGAGTAGTACTAGCAGAACAGGAAAAACTACTGTAGTGGCCACTAAGACGCCAATTAGCGGCTTCTATAAAAGAAGTTTTAGTGGCCACTTTAGTGTCCTCTCTAAGAGTCCTCTTAAGGGGAAGGGGATTTTTTCTCACTGTAACCAGTGTTCGATTTCATTTTCCAACTTATTAAATAAGGAAATAAAAAATAATGCTGCGAAAAAAATTTGCAAGACAGATTTTAACAGCTATTTTAATAGGACTACAAAGTGTGAATCATCGATTTTGATGTAAATAATAATTTTTTTTTTGTAACAGAAAAAAGACTAACCTTGACGATGATTTCAACGATTTTCAAGATCAAAGTCGACAGAAGGGCCAAGGAAATGACCGGATGAGGTTCTTTCAAACGTCGGCTCAACACGCAGAAGCTCAGGCCAACGGAGATCTGCAAAATAATAAAAAAATAATACGTATATTTTATGTTTTTACACAGTAAACTACAGTAATCTCAAGGAAAGGAGGAAGTGAAGCTTTTTTAGGGACCGTAAATATGTTATTTTTGCCGAAAATCTTATCGAGAGGTCTTTTAAAAAGCAAAAAGTATTAATTTCCGAATGAAACTCACTTTCCTAGACATAGTTTTTAACGCTGATTACGAATCTCTAATCAGAATTTGTCTAGAAAGCGTCAGAAAAAGGGTTTGGAGGCCTAAAAAGCAAAAAAAAAAATTATTTCATTCGGTTGGACTCATTCTCGTAGTGTAAAGGAAGCTGTGTCGATTATCAAAAAAAATCATTTTTCTCATTTTTTTATGAATTCCCAGGTCCTTCCGGAATTTGAATAGTTTTTTCGAGTTTTATCACATTCTTAAGACTCCGAAGAACGAGTTTGTACTGCTTTTCCGAACTTTTTTTCCAAATAAAAAAAAGGGTTTTCAGAGCACCCTTAGACTTTTTTGGACCCTTTTTTTGAAAAAAACATGATCAAAAACTGCATCTAATGAACTTAATATGCTCCAAAAAAATTTGCTATAAGCTGATTTTTTTATCCCTAAAAGGTAAGAAAAAAACTCCGAGAGAAAAACTCCAAAACTGATTTTTTTGAAACTTCGTTTCAAGACCTAGATTGACATTTTTTTGTTGAGAATCACTGAAACTGGATAAATAACGAGAAGAAGCACTGAAAACGTTGGAAAAAAAGAGCCGAAGAACATATTTTTAAATTTCGCTTCAAGACCCAAATTACCAATTTTTTTAGAACATAGTGAAACTGGATAAATAACGAGAAAAAGTTTTTTTGAAAAAAAGTTGAAAAGAAAAAAAATTTCATACTCGTTACGAGGCCGCATTTCACAAGTCTCCTAACATCATTTTCCCCAAAATCTTAATTAATTACCTAAAAAAATCTAAAAAAATCAAAGCAAAAGCTGGGAAAAATGTTTGAAACAAATTGAAACAAAACAATAGATTTCAAAAATCCGTTTCAAAAACCCGATTTGAGATTTTTTTGTGTAAGACTCACTGAAACTTAAAATGACGAGAAAAAGCTTTAAAAATTGATAAAAAAAAAACTTTCCAAAAGTTGTTGATTTCAAAAACTTTTTTTTAGTCGTTTCAAGTCTCAATTTCACAATCCTCCTACCATTTGCTCGAAATCTCAATAAGTTATTAAAAACGACAGAAAATCGAGGTCAGAGCTGCAAAGGAGAATAGTGAGATTATGGATTTCTAAAATTCGTCTCGAGACCGAATTTCTAGACTTTAGACTCTTGCGATCTTCCCAGAATCTGAAAAAATTGACTTGAACTAAAAATCTTAGTTGAAACTTCGGAAAAGTTCCAAAAGAGTGGAACCCGAAAATAAATTTTGAAAATACTTCTGAAGGCCAAATTTAACGGTTTTTTTCCTGTTATATCTACAGAACTTCAATGGACTATCTAAAATTACAAAAAGTCGAAGAAAAAACTGCGAAAAAAAGAGCCAAAAAAAAGTTTCAAATTTCGTCTCAAGCCCGAATTTCACAATTAATCACCTACTCTCCCTTAAAACTCCCCAAAATCCTAACAAAATTACTTTAAAAAACCAAAAAATCGAATAAAAATCTGGGGAAAATTGAAAAGAAAAGTATCAAAAAATGTTTTTCAAAGCTGGTCTCAAGCCCGAATTCCACAATTTATCTCCTATACTCTCCCTCAAAACTTCCCAAAATCCAAAAAAATTACCTAAAAACCCAGAAAACCAGAGGAAAAGCTGTAAAAATGAGTCAGATTAGAAGAGCCAAAAAAGATTTTAATAATTCGTCTCAAGACCTAATTTTGCAACGTTTCTCTATAATATTCCAATAATTCAAAAAAATCATCTAAAACTACTGGAAATCCATGAAAAAGCTGTGAAAAAGATTGAAGAGAAAAAAAGACATTTTCCAAAAATTTGTCTTATTTCTGAATACCCTATACTCTCCCTTAAAACTGCCCAAAATCTCAAAAAAGAAAACTTAGAAATCCGAAAATCAGAGAAAAAGCTTGGGAAAAGCTGCAAAAGCGTCAAAAAATAAAAGGAAAGAAAGATAACGATTTTTAATTGGATAGGTGTGACTATTTGCTTTTGAATCACTGATAAAATAGGTGATAATTTTCTAGTTAGCGCGATCTTTGACTCCAATATGATATCACGAGGAATTTGTGCAAATTGCTTTCCAAAATGACCAAATATGAGCTTTTTTCCTGTTTTTAAAGATTTTTTTAATTGGAAAAATATTTTTTTAAAAGCTCAAAAAAATCGAAAACTAAAGCGGAGTTGGGTCAATTTCCGAAGGGAGGTGATAAAATGATGAGTAAATATTTGACCCCGTTTCTGTTGATTTTCCTTCACAGCTTTTTCTCAAGGTTATAAAATTCAGAGTTTTATTCATGAAAATACAGGAAAATGAGAGAAAGGTGCAGAAAATTCAGATCGATTTCCACTGAAATATGATCTTTCCGAGCTTTTGCCCACTGTTTTTACGGAATTTTTCGGAGGAATATCGATTTTTTTGAGGAAAAAAAGATGTCTTAAATGACATTACCGTTGAGAAATAATATTTTAACAGGCAATTTTGAAAAAGTTTTTTTGATTAAAGCACTGTTGTAAAAAATTATATGAAAAATATTGATAAATTTTAGATATTTTCTTAAAAAAACTAGGGATTTTTAGAACCTTAAATGGAACTTCAAAAAGAGCTCTATCTCAAAATATCCTGGCCGCACTTGGAATGGCTCGGAGCGTCGCGGTCGCGTTGCGGTTAGAATAGAGTCTAGTTTTTAGCGGATTTCGATTTTTGGGTCAGAAAAAAAGTCTCAAATTCTAGTTTAAAAAAATATTTAGAGTGATAAGTAAGCTTTAAAACATATTCCACCTGTATACCATCTTTTTCGGTTTCTGAATATATATTTATATTTTTTTAATTCTGATTTTCTTTGATATGAAGGAAGTAGTTGTACAAAAAAAGTTTTAAAAAAAAATTCAAAAACTTGCCTTTTTTAATTTGCTGTTGAACCATTGCAAATGCGGCCATGGGTTTTCGAAAAGGAATACTGGGAAAATTTTTAGTGGCCACTATAGTGGCCCGCCAAGGACTATTTGGAGAGGGCACTGAAGTGGCCACTAAACCCACCTCTACAGTGACCACTATTTTTCGTTTTAGTGGCCACTTCAGCAGTTTTTCCTCCAGTATTCCTTCCAGTCTGATAATTTTAATACAAACAGATTGGACCGATTAGCCCCTAAAGTGGCCACTAAAATTTTTAGTGGTCTAGTAGCAGCACTTAGACGTCTATAACTAAAACGTGCAAAAATTTTCCCATTAAAAAAAATATTCTTTCGAAGTTTGAATATTATAATAAAATAAGATCCAAGAAAAAGAAATAAATTTATTTCTTCAATTTACATTTTTTTTTTCTTTTTTTCTGGTTCCAGACACGGGAAAAATGGGATTTTTCCAACTTTTGGCGAATAGTCTAAAAAAAAGAAGGCAATTTTTTTTTCCCGTCAAAAAAAGACCGTAAATAAGAAGTGAATAATGAAAAAAAAATTTGTTCTTTTGAAAATTGAAAAAAACACGGCTAAGAAATCAGAGTTTTCCCCTCTTTCCTTGCCGAGCCATTCCAAATGCGACCCTGGGTTCTCAAAGAAAAAGGACTTTTTAAATAATCTTTTTCATTTCCGGTTCATTTATCTTATCAAAAGAGGGACTTTGTCGATCAAAAAAACTTAGTTATCAAACTTTTTTTATGAATCAATTTAGAAACCTATCATTTAAAGGTTGCGTTACGTGAAATTCATTTATTTCATTCCGAGGGAATTTTTTTTAAATGATTATTTTTTTGACAATAAAGGAATCGTAGTAGTACAGAAAAAAAGCGAAAAACAATGAGATAAAAAAATTCCAAGTTTATGAATAGATTTTGAACTACTGAGGTGCCGAAAAAATTCGACTTTTTAAAAATTGTACCGAAAATTTAAAAAATCGAGAAAAAAATTGTACTTTGATACGCTTGAAAGTCTGAAATCGCAGAATTTTCAAGTTTTCGAGGATAAAAATGTCTGAAAACGCCATCAAGCCCCCTGCAAAATGGGCCATTCTGTGAGCTCTTTTTTTTCTCGAAAAATAGGTTTTTTTCGCAGGTTCGGACTTTCTTTTTTCGAGTACTTTGAAGAGTTTTCTGGTCAATTTTGAGAGAATTAGAAGCTTCAAAAGTTTCAATAAATCTGTAAAAAGAGTTTTTTTCAATATTTGGGAGCTTATAAATATTTTGATCGATTCGATCTGAAGTTTTGAGAGTTGAAATTGAAAAAAGTTCATTCAATGTTGAAAAAGAACTCAGAATTAGCTGATTTGATTGAAAATTGATTTATAGGGAAATTTATGGCCTATGGAAAAAAATTCATTCATTTTGAACCCTCTATTTTAGAAAAAAAATCTCAGTCTTGAAAATTTAAAAACTCTTGGGAAGTTTACAGTTTCAAGATGAGAACTTATATATTGAAGCAAATGGAATTTTGTTTTTCTGACCTTCTACAGTAGGATTATGTCAAGATGTTTTATCAATCAAATAAAAAGAAACTTGTAGGAATGAACAGAAATAAACGGTTTTTTTCAATGTTCACGATTTTTTTCTGAAAAAAATCAAAAAAATATTGTCCCAAATTGGTCAAAAAAATGTTTTTTTAGGTTTCCAACTTTGAAAAAGATATACATCCTCCATACTTATGTGAATCATTTTTAAAAAAACTTAGACGTTCATGAAATAATTAAAAACTTATTTGAAAAAGGAAGAAGAAAAACACATAAACCTGATCAAAAAACGAACTAAAAGTTCTCAGAAAAAGCTTAATTTTTTTAATAAAAAAGGACGGAGTTTTATGATTTTTTTAATTTTGCCATTGTCTAAGTAATTAATTGACATCTGAAAAAAACTCTACTTTTTGACTTTTTCTGACCAAACGGAATATTTTTTTCATCTTTCTCTTTTGAAAAGGTGAAGAGATCTCAATATTTTTTTGATTATCGGAAAAAAAGATGAAATTTGAGATAATATTATTTTTTTCCACCCAGAAGCTTTAAGAACTTCGGAGATATTATTCTAACTTTCTCAGAAAG